GAAGACATCAAATATGTTGTCTAACCTTGAAACATGGTCCCATGTCCACTATGCATTGTCTTTTCAGCAGCTGATCTGTTAGGAACATAAATGAAAACAGTTTGTCAGATTGTCTGTGTTTATATGATTATTGTGAACGCCATATCTCAAGAACACCTTGAGACAATTTCTTCAAATTCGGTACAAACATTAATTTGGACTTAAGAACGACCTGTTTAAATTCTGGTGGTCAAGGATCAAGGTCAGTGGCCTCACAAACATGTTTTTGGCCTCTGGAATGTGATATCTCAAGACCACCTCGAAGGAAAGGCTTTATCTTTTGATCAGCTGTCACTCGGACTCAAAGATGAACTGATAAGATTTCAGGGGTCAGAGGTAAAGACCATGATGAGCTTATATGAACCTGCACTGGTTGAAGGAGGCTTACAGCCGCTGTGTGATATTTCTAGTTATTATTATAACGACTGAAGAACTACAACTGAAGCAGTGAGGTGAACGATTGGAATCACAGTTGGTGTTCATCCCATAAGTGATGGACGAGGTAGAGGTCAGGTCTGTGCAGGTCAAACACAAACTGGAAAAAGTCATTTCTTTACAGACCTCGCTTTGGTTCTAGGTTGTTAAGGGACCTCGCCTCGTGTGTGTGTGTGTGTGTGTGTGTGTGTGGGGGGGTTGTTGGAATGAAAGACGGAAAACAACCTGGGATCAAATATATGCAGAAGTACTTTATCAGACGAGAAAGAAAAAGGTTTATTTTACATTATTTGTTGGATTTCTGGGGCTCGAGGGCTGGAATTCAAGTCAGAACAGAAACATCACACGTTATCTTCTGACAGGAACATTAAGGAAGCCTGTAAAATAGTCCTGTCTGTTCATCAGCCTGCAGACATGAATACTGACGGAGTGATCCACTTGATATTCTGACTGTCATACCTTCACCTATAGATGGGGGCGGGACACACACACACACACACACAGACTTTGAATAGACACAGTGTCCTTGCTTGCTTGATCCTGCTGCCACTGAGCCTTTAGAAAGCCGGTGAGTGTAGCATTGTCTTGATTCATGATATAAAGGCTTAAGGAGATTATTAGTTCTGTTTGACGGGTTAACTACTCAGATTTACGCTCGGCAGCACCTGTTCTGTAGATTGACTTTGGGGCTGTTGTATTTTAAACCTGATGATCTCTCGAGGCCTCGGTTGTAACATCTGACGTCACAGAGGCAAAGACATTGACCCCTGACACTGATCCGAACCCTGACATCATGGAACGGGACATTGCAGAGAAGATGTCCGTGGCATCATGTTGACAAGGAGAAGAATCTTGGCCACAAGATACTGAAAGGGAATCAGTGCCACAAAGAGCTGCAAGGGTTTTGAGAACAAAGTGTATTGAATGATTAAATGTAATTTAAAAAAAGCTCAGTAATTTACTACCACTGTTGGTTTTTAGCAAACATTACAAAAACAGGAGTAAATATTGAATCTGCTGGGACCTTTTTTCTGAGGTGGATTCTGACATATTTAATGATGTCAGAAAATTTACAGCGACATATGTGTTTATACATAAAGTTCAGTGCAACAATGAGAATCACTGATGTGGCTTTTACTCGTCTTTGCAAAAGAATGAGAGTTTGGTTTTATTATTTTCATGAGATTTCTTGACAAAAGGAAATACGTAGAATATTTACCACAGAGACATAAATTTAACTTAAGGACGGTCACCACACTGGGCTGAGGGAGGGGGCTTGTCCTCCCCCTCGCTTTACTTTGTCCATTTTCAGTCCCTGACAAAACTAAATTCTAAGACCAAAGTAGTTGCTTTAATATCTTACGATAACGCACAGTATGGAGTCTGTGTTTCTGACTGACGTGTCAGGCTCCTCAAGCTGAGTGTGGCCTGTGCTGGCGCTCGTAGGGATATCTCACAGACTGGACGGGAGATAAACCGGGGGCACGGTGTTGACCAGAGCAGATCCAGTGTCAGCTTATCAGCCAGGCCGGCTGCATGACTGTGGCAGAAAGAGAAAGGCCCTTTGTTTTCAACTGGGGCTCCTTGTTTTGGTCCCTTGCCTATCTCATTCCTGCACCGGCCCTCTTTATAACCCAGCCAGCCGTCGACCAGGGGCTGGGTTTCACTGTAAATACAGTATTTAAGACTCTGCTATTCTAAAATTTCCGATTTGATGTAAGAAAGCCAGGTTCAGCTGATTATTTCTGGGTTGTGTTTGGGCATGTCAGGCTCTCTGATAATACAATCAGTCCATGCTCAACTGAGTTTTTCTTTCACAAATGCCTGTAACCAAACAGGAAACCTGAGATCCCCTCTGTGATGCTAATGCATGAAATGTGAATGACATCATTTTACTCCTTATATTTGATACACATCACTGACTCCAGATCTCTGTGCTTGTCCAAGGGCGATTTTTGTTGAGTCCTGCAGGACTCATGAATTTGTGCCTCGGAGAGTTCAGGCTGTTTTGTGGCCAACGTGAGTCTTTGTACTAAACAGCTGCAGACGACAGAATAATACAAACTGGGTTCATAAACCATCAAGTGTTTATCTGGACTCCCCTTGTCTCCACACACTCTATCTTTGTCTTTTCACAGCCACTAGAGTCCATGAGAGGCTTTATCCTGCAGGCTTTATACTCAGTTTAATCAAGCTGCTGTTTAAAGGCTCAAACTTTTGCATAGTCTCGCTTTAACCAGAGTGTTTGACCGACTGACACACAGACGATCGAGGTCAACCCTGGAGCTGTCCTACATGCGGACATTTTGTTAAATTTGCTTCCCTCTCCTCCCCCTGTCCTCCTGCTCTCCATATGCCTCTCAGCTCCACTTTACTGCTCTCCATTTCAGCCCATTAGGGTCATCAAACAAAATTTACAGCCCTTTGGTCCCTTCCCCTGAAAGGCCTCTCTCTACGCCACCGTTCCCTGAGGTCCAACATCTGATGCGCTCTGCTCTGAGTGTGTGTGTGTGTGTGTGTGTGTGTGTACCTCTATCACCGCGAGGACCAGTTTGAGTTATGGACCTCACGGAGTCAGGAACTTGATTTTTTCTTCAAAGACTTGGTTTTGAGGTTCACGTTAGAGTCAGGTTGAGGGTTGACTTTCCGCTGTGATGATTAAGGTTAAGCATCGTACCAACGAGTGTCCTCACAGAGATAGATGTTCAAGTGTTTGGGGGGGCGGGGCTGTAACGCAATTCCGGGGTTGCAGTGTTTCGCGTTTTGTTGATTTCGTTGTTAATTTTCCTGTCACCCCTGGAAACCACATAACTTTAAACTGCTGTGTTTGGAAAGATTGTTAAGTGCCTGAAACCTCATTGGAGTCAATAATAATAAATTCATATTTTATCAGCTGATGTTGTTTTACAGCGAGGACAATTAAAAAAATAGTTGTGTCATTAGTCAGTTTTATTGCTATGACATAATCTGGTACAGAGGAGCACTCTGGGATAGCACTGGAGCAGACTGAAGCTGTCCACTTGTCTCTTGTCTCACATTGGCGGAGACATTTGAGTAACAAGTGTTACTGTTGCAACTGTGCAAGATTCAATCACAGTTCATTGTTGACGGACGGTTGAGAAGGTCCATGGTTCAATCCCCAGCTCCTCCAGTGTGCATGTCCAATTTTGTCCACATGTTGAGGATTCTTTTGACAAGACACTGAACCCCCACTTGCCCCTGACGGCCGTGCAGTGCATAGTGAGAATGGGATGTATGGTAGACAAAACATCTGATGGAGAAAACACTGTATGAATGTGAACTGTGACGTAAACATATGAAGAAAGTCATATATAAATACAGTCCATTCATCAATTTAACATCTGTGCAGTAGGACTTTGACTTTTTAGTTTCATCCACGTCCCATCTGCTAACATGGAGGAGGCAGGGTTTATGAGCTGTACTGCAGCCAACCACCAGGGGGTGATCAAACGGTTTTTGTGAAGTAGTGAGGACTAAGTACTTGTGGGATTGATTGGAAACACTTTGACGGATGTTATCACTGGCTGTTGACGATAAATTGTCAGGAGAGGAAAGAAAACAGAGGAACACGGTTTCAGGTACTGTTATTAGTTAAAGGTTTCATGGAATATAACTTTATTGACAACCCCCCCCCCCACCCTATTGGTTGCAGTAGGAAGCTTAATACAAACCACTGAAATGTTAATTAGAGACAGCACATCGAAGTGTTTTGGAAAGTAATGACACCAAGTCAGTTGTGGTGTTGAGTTTTTGATGACGGACGGACCAGGAGTAACTGTCTTGAAGAGCTCCGAGACTAATCGACTTGACGCCAGATGAAATGACGCCAGATGTCAGTGGACGGTTGACGATACTTTTCAAGAAGAAGGAAGAAGATCTGCAGCAGTGGGTTTTCTTTCTTAGGGTCTGGAGCTGCTGCAGACGACAAGTTTAGGAAATTTATTTGTAAAGTTTTAATTGAACAATAAATGTTCGGGTTTGTTTTTGAGAGAGTGGGTAATGCACAAAGAGCTGTTTATTCAAATTTCAACGAAGCTTGAATCACAGGACCCTGAACTGGAGAATCTGTTGTCTTTGCTTTTTGTTGTGAATGACAATATCACTTTTGTTGATGAGTCCCAGCCGCCGCCGCTACAGAACGCTGGTTGCCTGTTTGTTTAAATTATTATCAACTTTGAACGTATCGTATGGCTGCACCAAATTCGACTCTGCACTTCCTTAGGCCCTGAACAACGCCAACGCCAAGTGTGAAGCCGATAAGATGAACGGTTGTAGAGATATTCATGATCAATTTTTCCTGTTGTGGTTTGAAATTGACAATCTGAAATAAATTGATCTTTAATATTTTTGTTGCTCAACAACAAAACACAGAGCCACATGATGAGACAGCCGTCTTCATCCGGCTGTTGACATCACAACATGACACAAACCAGAAACACTCTGTACTAACGTTTCAAAGATTACATCCTTGAATGAGCTCCAACTCCTGTTTTCTCTCTCAGCAGAATGCCTTCCTGCGCCGAGCCGCTTCTCGAGGGGACGGGACGATGCTTTCAGGACCCGATCGAAAAGGTTCAATAGTTCGCGGGGACGTATTTGTGGTGGACGAGGACACCGACCTGTTGGATCCAACCTTCCAAAATGGTGAATATGCTAACCCCCTGTGGAAGCCCTCCAGGAATGGAGGAAACCAGAAAGGGAAGCCTGAAACGTCTTCTAAACATTTAGAGGAGAATATCACTACAGAGAAGAAGAAAGTTTCAAGCGGGGGAACTTCGTCGCTGTTCCCCGGGAAACCCTCTGGTGACATCATCGACCTGGACACCGGAAACACACCCAAGAAGCCCTCAGCCGGGATCCCTTCATATCCAAGAACATCCACAGATGATCAGGGCAGGGCTGTCTCACCTACAGCTCAGGTGATCGTCTCTGACCCATCTGCAAAAGGCGTAGTTGAAAAGTGGGGATCCGTCACCACGCAGAGCACCGTGTACTCTGATGTCAAACATGTCGACAGGGAGCACCCCGGCACTGTGACCATCGTGTCCGTAGACGGCGACCTGGTGCGGAGCTCGGATGGACAAATGTACCGGCTGCAGAGAGGAGGCGTTGGTCGAATGGGTCCTCCAGGGCCAGAGGTGAGGAATCTCGTGATGCTCTATTTGCTCTCATGCTCTTGTTTTAAAGTTGCTGGTTGTTTCCAAAGGACTTGGGGTGCAACACGCTTGGTTCACATCACAACCTTTAGTGAAGTCAGTTTAATTTGAGACATCGTTTGATTGAAATTTAGGCAGTAAAACTATATTTTACACCACTTTGTTGCTCCCGTGCGTTGATTCGTACAGATCACTTGTCACCACTACAAGTGACAGAGAGGAAGACGCCCTCTTTAGGTGGAGTTCAGTCAGAAATTAGTTTCTGCATATTCGTTTCTGTCCAGTTTTGAAGACCTCGATAGCCAAGGCTCGTTCCCCGCTGCTTCATCTGTAAAGTTGATGTATTATATCAGAGATGAAGTGGGATCAACCTTGTATGAAGAAAGTGTTATGTCTGTTCACGGTTTGCAGCTCACAAGAGCTGGGCTCCATCAGCTGCCATCTGAGTCTGATCAGCGGAGGCTACGCCGCTCAAACACATGTTGATCCACATGTCTTTGATGCCTCGATCCGAGCCCTCGGAGAACCGCACGGTTAACGAGTCTGAGCAGTTTGTCAAAGCTTCGCTCGGTTGACAGCCTTAACCTCTTGCTGCCGACTTGTCTGATTGTTGCAAATGAGTAAAACCATTTTCATAATAACCAGTCAGAAGCTTTGCCCGGTGTAAGAGGTGGGTCGTGGCAGGAACTGCAGGGCAGACAGAACCAGAACCAGGCTGCACATCTGGTCACGTCTGGGCCGGTCTCTGGAGTCACGCTGCCATAAAACGCACAGGATCACTCAGCACGATTACAGTGATTGGATCCAGCTGCAGGGAACATGAAGGAAGACGTCCTGTTGGCTCCTCTCTCCTCGTGTACAACATCTCAGCTCTTCCCTGACTTTCATGTCGGAGTTTGCACAAGCCTGCAGAATTATCCTCAACAAGTGTGTTGACGTGATTAAAGGCTCTTATTTACAAAATAATATTTCTCCGCAGGATCCGACTGGTTGGCAGGTTTATTGAAACACCTCGATATCCCTGTGAAAGCTGTTTAGCTGCAGCAGGAATCCTTGTGCTTAACTTCACCACTAAGTTTTGGCCGAGAGCCTCTACCCTGGAAATTCTAAAAATGTCTTCACCATGCAGCTCTGGGAGGCGTGTCAGTATGTCAGTATTAGTGCAGCATTATCTTCTTATTAATCCATCTACTGTATTTTTGAAGATTTATGAATTTAGCAGTAACAACTGAATCACTACAATCAATCCACGTCATCCTCACTCCGCTCAGACGTCTCAACCTGAGTCAGTCAGTGTTGCATTCCACCATTTTTACTTGGTCAAGACAAAACAATTCATTAATTTGGCCGATGGTTTCACTTCTTCAATTATATTTTCTGTTTGGAAGATGCTTTCTCCACGGTGTATGTTTGAGCGGTTTTATTGCAGGTTGTTATGTTTCCACAGGGTTGTCCTGGTGAACCTGGCCTGCCGGGGTTTAAAGGTGACAAGGTAAAATAATCTTTACGACATAATAGCCTCGTAATCATGTGTTAGGCTAGTCCCCTTGACTCGTGCAGGGCTGTTCTGTGCACCTGAAACAGCATCCAGGGCCATATTGTGTTTTAAAGCCCAATTCCACCTCAGTTATTTTCATACCTGCATCTATAAACTCCTGTCCCTGCCTCCATTCATTCTCTGGACATATTATTTACACTGGAGCTTAAACGCTGTAGCAAATCACGTTTATGTTGTAATGTTGAAATGCTGTGCTACAATACCAAGTATCCGATGTAAATGGATTTGTCTTGCATATTTACCACGTATTTTTCACACCACAGGGTCAAATGGGCTTCGAGGGTCGTTCGGGGAAAAGGGGGGAGCCAGGACCTCCTGGAGCTGCAGGTTTACCGTCCCTCTACCTCTGGAAGAATACGGCAGAGGAATGGGCTGCGTTCCAGGTAAGTTGGTGACCACAGTATATTCTATATTAATCGAACTTCTGTCCTGATCTACTTCTTTGTGTCATTCACAACGTTCAAAGAGAAATGGTGCAGACGTTCATGTCTGTCAAAAATTGAGGTTTTATGGTTAATTAAATATATTTCTTTAAAATTCTGCTAATCCAGCACATTTCCCAGCATCCCTTTCACCATCTTAACCAGTTCATGTGAAGATGACCTCTCCTTGCTCTTTTCTCTCCCGAGCACTTGTGTAATTCATCGTCAGTTCCCCAAAAGACGCACTGGACATCAAATGTTCTTTGAGGTGAAGCCATCTCTCTCCACATCCATAAGATCCACAGACTCAGTCAAACCTTTGACCTGCAGTTGCCGTGTGAGCAGGCTGATGTCAAACAGATGAGGGCAGAGACGACAAAGAGAAAAGTCTGCGAGTAGTTTGTGATGGACGTTTGTTACTGTATGTGCTCTAAAGGTTACGTGTGGACGGACCTTTATTCAATTTTACTGTCCCGCAGCTCAATACATCGTTTATATCATCAAGAGTGTTCCTGACTGTTTCTGAAGTTATTGAAGTTTATGGGTAAGATTCATGGAGCTGTGATTGATCCTGTGTTTCCATTCTCCCTGCAGCAAACCAACTTCTACCAGTTACTTCGCTCCGGTTGGCCTGTAAGTTCACAGTGACGATTAACAGCCTGTCTTTGTTGGGATTTGGTTGTTTTGTTTGTTTACTGTTCACCTGAGGCGGGTTTCTTCTTTGTGAGCTTGCAGAGTGAAGAAGGTCCTGCAGGACCACCTGGAGAGATGGGCAAACCTGGCATACCGGTAAGAGATGTGATCCAAACACAATTTAAAAAAAAAGAAAGTCTGTATTGGTTCATTCTGAGCTGGTGAAATTTTTGTATTTGTTGTTTTTCAGGGGCCTCCTGGTGAAGCTGGGGGGCGTGGACAAGCAGGGATGCCAGGAGAAATGGTAAAAGATTATTTTATCAATCAATTCAATACACAGACATCACTCTCCTGATAAGAAAAGTTTATAGAAATCTATTAAATGTCAAAAACTGAGCTCTATCAATTAAAAACGTATTCAGAGCCCTAGAACTCCTGCTGCGGCACCATGTCGAGTCTTCTTGGTAAAGTCTCCAACCTTCAGACGCCTGGATTTGGGCAGTTTGTCTCTCTGCTCCTGAGATGGTCGTCCTTCCGGCAGGTTCTTCATCTTAGTTTATGTGGATGACCTCCTCCAGCGAGAGTCCTGTGGTTCCAAACATTTCACATGTCTCACTGAGGCCGCTGTAAAACTCAAAGACTCGGAGAGGGTTTTATATTCTTGCCCTGATCTATGGCGCGCCACAGAAATGCATTGCTCCGGTCTCCAGAGACTGGCTGTTTTTTTCTGTCCTGACATGCAGAGTGAATTGTGGGACCTTATATACACAAGTATTGTATTCAGTTTGCCACAGATGGACTTCAGTCAAGTTCTAGAAACATCTCAAGGATAATTAAAGCAAACTGGACGTAGGCTTCTCGCCTCCGGGGTTTCCTGACAACCAAGGCCACGTTTGTTCTGAGCCGTTTGAACCGCTGCCACAGGTGGAAACTCCAGAGACGAGAAATCCCCCCCACAACACTTCTGTCGCTTTAGCTCCTGCTTCTCAAACGTGAACTACGGCTTCTCTCCTCTGTTTTATATCATTCGTAACATGTGCAGTCGTCACCTTTGACTCTGGGAAACTGTAATTCTTCAGGGTTTCGTGATATTTCATAAATAGTTAATCCCCAGTGAAAACAAGAGCCAGTTATGTGTAAATATATGCATTTGCACCGCTGAAATAAGATTAATTGCACAAAGTGAAAGTATCCTGGTTAAATATTAGTTTATAGTAAACCCTCATTCATCATGCCAGTCTGTGCGCGTATAAAACTGCATCCATCATCCTCAGCAGTTTAAAATATGTCCGTGCAGCCTCAGCACACGTGTTTTATCCATTCAGTGTGAATCAAGTGTACAAGTTTTCCACCTGTTCTCAGGCAGAGTTATTACTGACCACCATCTTCTCGACAGCGTATTGTTATTCAGCTGATCCCGTGTCTGTGTGATGAACGGCTCTGCAGAGTAGAGCGGAGTCGTCACAGAACAGATTTAATATTTAGAATCGAACTCCACCAGTGTGAGGTTCTCCACAGCTGTGGTTTCACTCGCTGTGTTTCTTCTTTTTATGATTTCATATTTTTTTTATCAGCCTTATAAAGAAGCAGAAGTATTAAAAGTTTCTTAACTCTGTTATTCCTGTTTGCCTGACAGGGTGAGCAGGGGCCCAGGGGCCCTCCCGGACGAGTCGGGGCCCCAGGGAGAGATGGTACAAATGGGGAAGATGGTCAGCCTGGGTCAGGTGGTGCTCCCGGGTCATCGGTGTGTACATTCTGTTCAGTATCGTGAACGCATCTGAGTTTTACAGCTTGTAAATCATCCGTGTCTGTGTTCACTTGTGGAAATCGTTTCTGTAATTGTCATCAGGGGCCCTGGGGACACAGAGGAGAGCGAGGGGCCAAAGGGGAAAAAGGTGATGAGGTGAGTAATAAAACAGCAGAGATACTTTTCTACGGAAGAAAGGTCAGAAGCATTTTCACTTTTGATTTACTGTTTGTGAAATGATTCACATGTGAAGCCAAGAACGCATCATCGTACCAAATACTGTCTGAGCATAAACCTGCAAACAATTTCTGTCATCTTTTAACCATTTAGCTCATATTTTCATTTCATTATCAGTTTAAAAGATTTAAATCGGTTTAAAAACTTTTATTTCTGTTCTTCCCCAGGGTCTGGTTGGCTTCAAGGGTCCAAGAGGAGAATCCGGTGAACCTGGTGAGAAGGTACTGTGATAGATCTATTTATCATCCGTCGTTTAAATTACATTTTGGATTTTTACCTCTGTTAATGTTCAGGTTGATCAAGTTTAATTACTTTAAAAGGTTTTTATGCTAGGAAAGCCTTTAACTCAGCCGGTATCGTTCACCATACGTGTTATTAACAGTACAATATGTAATGATCACGTGTTTTGTCTTCGTCTTCAGGGTTCCACTGGTTTACCTGGACGACCTGGTCTTGTTGGGCCTCCAGTGAGTGTCTCTCCTGTTTAGAAGTCATTGCCAATTATTTTATTATATAAATATCAGCCTTAGGCCTTCAAAATCCCAATCAGTCAAACTTTATTTTTCATGCATTTTAATGTTCTATTTTATTTCACTTGACCTTAAATACATATTTAATCTTCTCTGCAGGGGCCTCATGGGATCCGAGGTGGCTACGGGCCAGAGGGGCCCTGTGGCCCTGATGTGAGTGATGTTCTCTCTGACCGTAGTTCTATAGGAAACCAGGCATGACACTTAGAAAAGTTTTTCCCTGGAGAAGTTTCACAGGAAAGTGTTCTCAGACTTTTGGACCACACTGTGTGTAATGTATATACATTATACGTAGATATATCTTATTTCTTCAGGTTGCCTGTTTTAAAGCCAATGTCAAGAAACATGAGAATTAACAGTTTAATATTCTCAAACCACAACGTCATCATTTGGCCGCTGAGGATGTTGATTTTGCAGCATTTGGGTAAATGTGTTAAACATCCACCGGCCGATAGCTCAAACTAATCCCAGCACACTGTACTGAAGTATTTTCAGTGAAGGCGAGATTAGGGAATTAGTTTTTACTGAATGACTGTTTATATTTTGGGAGTTATATTTTAAATCATTGATGCAGTTTTGTTCATTGTGAGAGATTCTGATGTCATTAATACAGTTATGTACTTGATGTCATTAGGGGGAGAACGGACTGGACGGCCTCCCAGGTCCACCGGGGCCAACGGTAAGAACATAGAGGGATTAGGTGATGGAATATTTCTCTGTTTGTGCCAATTATCAATATATATATATATTTATATGATGTGTGTGTGTCACAGGGGGCACCGGGTTTTACAGGACGTGTTGGCGCTCAAGGAGTTAATGGCTCAAGGGTAAGATTATAAAAGATTATTAAAATAATTATTGAAAATTGCTCATCCCAGCAGAGAAATGATGATGGATAACTTTGTCTTGTGTTAAATGATAAGTACAGTATGATTATGAACTTAAATTCTGGTGTGACTGATCTAATCCTTCAGGGGGACCTGGGACCTGCCGGCTCTGTTGGCCCCAAAGGCCCCCAGGTAAACACTTAGTTTAATTATAATTATGCTGCAGGAATTTAATGTTTGTGGTTTAAAATGCATTAGTTTAATTGTCTTCCCATTAGGGGCCTCCAGGTTTAGAGGGACAGATCGGACCCCCTGGACTCAGAGGGCTCCAAGTGAGTACAGTTCAAGGCAAGACGGTCGTTAGAGACTTCAGAGGAGTTTTACCTCATTAGATCTGTGATCAGTAAAATAAAAACTCTTTACAGGGACACTTGGGACAGACCGGAGCTCCCGGCCCTAAAGGAGAGAACGTAAGAGTCTTTTTATTGTGTTATTTTGTTCCGGACAGATGTGTTTTACTTCCTTAATGGTTAAGATTAGTTTAAAATGCAGAGTTTATTGGGCCCGTCTGTTTATCTGAGTCAGTGTGCATCATTTATATCTTCAGTTGATTACACAGATGTCGTTAATGGTTGATAAAACTTGATTGGGTTGTTACGGCGGTGTCATCGAATTCTACATAAAAGCTTAATGTGCATGATGAGGAGCCCACGATAGTGTGTAGAGGCCAAGAGGGTTGAATCACGGACTGTAGATAAAGATGGACGACAACAAGACATCCTGGATACGAATGCTGCCATATGCCGATGCATGCTCTCGACCAATGCTCTTGGACGCATCAGTGTGATAACCTAAAATGACAGAAACCAACTTTGACTTTTTAGTTTGTCCCATCTGCAAACACGGAGGAGACAGGATTTATGACGGGTACTGCAGCCAGCCACCAGGGGGCAATGGAGAGGCCTTAGCTTTGGGAGCTGTCATGTCATCCATCTTTGTACAGTCAATGTCGTGATTGTTTAAGAATAGATTGTTCAGTATCTTATATCTGTTGTTTATTTTCATATCAGGGGCCTGTGGGGCCCGTGGGTGGACGGGGGGATCCCGGCTTTGAGGGGCCCATGGTGAGTTACACATGAACATACTCACCAGGGTTTTACGTCATTACATTCACATGCAGGTCCAAAAAAAGAACGTTGCTCTTGATATCAGTTTCTCTTTCTTAATTTGTCCGACCTGCATCTTGAACGTTTGAATCATATTTTTAAATGTGGACAAAACCGCACGATAATTTGTGTTATTGTTGAAATAGATTGTGTTTGTTGATTATTGTAGCTGAGAATGAAACCTGATGTTATTTTAAGATGATTTAATACACATGTGCAGAACATTTTCAAGGATTTCTCTTATTTTGTTTTGGCCGTGCACGCATGAACAGAACAGTATGTTAATATTGTTGCCAGTCGTTATGACGATGAGGTTTTTAAAATGATCTCATGTCTTTTGCTGCATCTCACAGTTACACACAGTGTGTACCTTCAGTCTGCTGGTAGACAGTGTGCTGCCATCTACTGGTTGTGGGCTCTCAGTGGAAAATGACATGATGCTGTTACTCACTGTCTCTTATCCTTAACTTCAATGTGTAATCTCCATTTAAATCTTTCAATGAAATGACAAGGTGTTATAGTAAACTGCTTATAAATGAGCTTATTGTTCCTTTATTATTTCATTCTTCAGGGTTTCTGTTGTCATTTGTTTTTAATTACTACATTCCAGATGTTAATGTACATTTATTTCCAGGGCGCTCCGGGGCAACAAGGTCCTGTGGGTTTTACCGGAGTAGCGGTAGGTCGCTCAGTGTGGGATTCACAAACATATTTACTCTAGGAAATGTCTGGGTGCATCTTCTTTTGAGCATTTTCTTCTTTACAGGGTCACAGGGGACCACACGGGGACAAGGGGGACACTGGACCTAAAGGAAACAAAGTAGGAGGCAGTGGTTTTCTGTTTGATAAGAGAAGAGATGATGGAATTTTGTAGAAATAAACGTATTCACTCTCTGAGGTTTACGTGAGATAATCGATGCTTCGCACTAAATATAAGGCTATAACCTGTTAGCTTAGCTTAGCATAAAGACTAGAAACAGGTGGGAACAGCTAGCTTGGAGTGCCTTGAAGTCTAACTATGTCTCTAACTATTCATCAAAATCCAAATGTGCCTTAAAGAGTCTTTGTTTCCTCTCAGGGTTTTCAGGGGGCAGAAGGCATTATGGGCCCTCAGGGAGAGAGGGGCCCCACCGGCTTCCAAGGTTTCCAGGGGACGAAGGGCCAGCCTGGCTCCAGAGGCACCGAGGTACACTTTAACAGAGCCGTTAACTGTATTGATTCTCTGCTTGTTTTCAGATAACTCAGCACCTTGTTTCACATTTAAACTGGCAGCAAATAAAATATAATCAACCCACCGTGTAGACTCTCTCTCTTTTTTTATACGCAGGATGATATTGCATTACACGCTCGCTTAACGACGCAGGCGAGGGTCGTGTGGTGGCTGTGAAAGAAAAAACAAGATAAGCTTGGATTGATTTTATATTCCTTCATTCAGGGCACAAATGGAGAAACTGGCCCTCAGGGAAAAGAAGGCAGCCGCGGGTTAAAGGTCAGTGATGATTTATGGCTCTGAACACAAAGAAATGTCACATGACTTCATATGTTGATCCAAACATCAGATTTAACTGTGTAACATTAGAGCTTCCTGTGAAACCTGATGCAGGTCTCTGCATGTGGTCATTGCACACGAACATTAAGGGTTTTAAATACAAATAATCTCAGTAATAAAGTATTTTTCTTGCAGCAGGAGATTCTAGAGAACGTGGATCTTAAGCAGCAGGTCCCTGGTTGGACTACGTTTAAAAATCCTCCACTGTCTCTGTAGTTTTAAGACCAAAAGAATACACTTCAATTATACATCTGGAGATCTTTTAGAGATGACGACAATCTGGATATTGATGCTATCAGATGCTAATATCTGAATCTTCTTGAAGGGGACCAGAGGACCAGATGGACGTAACGGAAAACCAGGACCCAGAGGGAACAAGGTATGACACATCACACAGAGGCAATCACGGACTGTACGTAAAGACGGACGACATGACGGCTCCCTTAAAACGAAGTCTCTCGATCGCCCCCTGGTTGCTGCTTAGCTCATTCACCCTGTCTCCTCCATGTTAGGAGATGGGACATGGCCCAAACTATAACAGTCAAGTGTTTCTGATAAGTTTTTATTAGTTATTTGATGATATAAATTGGTTGTGCTAGTGTTTTGATGCCCATCCCTCGATCACTACTATGGATTATATCATATGCAGGAGAGGAGGGTGCAACATGATAAGCAATTGAAAGAGTGCCAGTGTATTATTATATAAAGTCTGTGGAAGCCTAAGAGAACTTTAAAACATTTAGTTTATCGGTAGCACACAGGAACAGGTTGATAGTTCACTGCACCTGCAGCTCAAGTTGTTTTGGAGTCGCTTGTTTTGTTCGTTCATACTAATGTTGTCGTCTCTTTTTTTTCTTTTCTTCTCCAGGGTCCGACTGGACCGAGGGGTCACACTGGTCAACCAGGCTCATCGGTAAACTTTCCCACCAAGCCTGGCAGAAATGATTCCTCATGATGTTGTGGTATTAAGGTGCACTTTTGCTCGTGCACAGAAACAGACGGAGTCTTTTGCCCATGCTGCTTCGCTCCGTCCGTATTTGTGCACGCGTTCTGACCGTAGGACACAAGGAAGACGTTTCACCTGTTTGTCTTGTGTTTGTGTTTTTTGGTTAATTCTTCTTCAGGGTTTGTCGGGGCCAACTGGACCAGAGGGAGCAGAAGGAAAGCCTGGTACACAGGTTCCCATTCTCTATCATATTTCAATCCCATCATCTGTAAATGCTGTGTGTGTGTATGTGTGTATGTGTGTGTTTGTGTGTGTGTGTTTGTGTGTCACATGATTTTTGCTGTCCAGTGATAAGTACTCCTGTTGAATATATTATTTTACACTGTTTTATTTCCAGCTTTGTCTTTGTCAGATAAACAGTAATTCATACTGAAATGATGTCACCGGCTGAAAAACTGCTGAGATTGAAAGTTTGAACCGTCTCCCTGTTGTGTGGTAGTTGTATGTTGAGACAGCAGGGGGCAGTGTTTGCACAGCTCTACTTCACAGGAGGTGGTGCAGAGTTCACGTTGCATCCATTTGTTCATCATCAATATTTTTTATCGAAAGAAAGAAAGACACTTTACTTCACTGTGAGATTTTTCCATCTTGTCATAACTCTCAGCATCTGTCCAGATTTAGTCTAAAATCGAATTCTGTGAGAAAAGTATAAAATGTTCAATGTTGAGCTCGACCCGTGACTTCTGTTTAAAAACGAACACGCTGGATTCACACAATCATTTCTTTAAGTGATGAACGACACAATGTTGTGTGGATGAAATTGCATTGTGGGCATTTTCTTTCTCTCGGTTTCAGGGTCCCTCGGGTGCAGTGGGACACGCTGGCAGTAAAGGACTCAGGGTGAGACTGACCGCAGAATGACTCCACCGTTCATTTCATGACATCATTAGGCTCTTTGAAAGTACATACGTGTTTGTATGTACCTCACACGTGTTAACATACAATATATGTTGGCCATTAGTATGTGGACACCTAAACATTTCATTGTTTTTTAAATATTTAATTCTAAAACCCCCCGAGCACCAGACCAAATACTTCATGTTCAATCATGTAAAAACTTTGTGAAAACTGGATTTACTACTCGGGGACTCCAGATGTTGCTGCTGCTGCTGAGCTTAATATTTTATGTTATATATGCAGCCTTCCTCTCTGTCCCCTCTTGTGATGTTTTATTTCTGTACATTTTCCAGGGTTTTCAAGGAGTGATTGGGGAGACGGGAGCAGACGGACCACCAGGTTCTCTGGTACGTCCTCGTTCTTTAAAAGACAAAGGAATCGAAGACTTTAACCGCTGTGTGAAAATGTGTTTTTCTGAGCTGAGGCCGTCAGGCAGGAGGTTTTAGAGATGAACTGATCCACTGAAGCATTTTCTGTATCTTGAGAAAGAGCAGCAGGTGAGCTCTGAACACATTCACTGATGACAGTGTTTTAAACCAATAGGGGCCTCCAGGGAAGACGGGGCCTCCAGGTATACCAGGACCCCCAGGAGAGAGGGTGAGTCCACAGACACACAGATACCTGGAGTATGTGTGTATTCTGTCAGTGATGTGTTTTAAAGACGTGTGGTTTGTGTGTGTGTGTGTGTGTGTGTGTGTGTGTGTGTGTGTGTGTGTGTTCTCAGGGTTTCACAGGGAAACCCGGCATGGAGGGACCCCAGGGCCCAGTAGGCATGTATGTAAGTGATGTGTGTCATGTATGTCAGCAGAGGTCATACAAGGAGACACCTGCACCACGATTCATAGCACATACACACTGTATGCAGAAAACCTAACATAGTATCAGTGAGGACACTTACTGTGTAACATGTTATAATAATAATAATATAATAATACATTTTATTCATACAGTAAGTTCCAAGCTTATAAACACAAAGTGCTTCCCAAAGAAAACAGTTTGTCGTTTATTGCTGGATTTGTAAGATGAGTTGATAATTAAAATGTTTCCTGTCGTTCCCTCTCCCATCAGGGCATCCCGGGGAACGTGGGCATGCGTGGGAATCCAGGTTTCATGGGAGAAAGGGTATGATCCTCTCTGTGTCGTCCATCGTCAATATTATTGTAGTTTGAAGAAAGTAACAGGAGAGGAGCTTTAGACGTGTTGTATGTTCGATCAAACCTTTTCACCGACATTTCTAACTCTGATGTTGTTAAAATCTGTTTGTTAAAAATATCACGACAACATTAAAAGTAGGGTCTTGAATTTGTTTCTTAAACTCTTATCTTATTTGTTGAAATCCTCTTCACGTCCTGATGGTTATCAAAGATTAGAGCTAACAAATAAAGAAAAGAGCCGTTTTCTGATTTGTCCTGGAAGTAGCTGCAATAAACACAAACAATTTTTTGATTAGTCAGCATAACTCATATACATATACGGCTAAAGCACAGACAGTGACCAGAAGTTAGCGAGCGCAGGATTCAATAAAATCTGACTTCTTCTGTTCTCCACCAGGGTGAGCAGGGTTTACGAGGTTTACCAGGACCTGTCGGGAAACCAGGACCTGCAGTAAGTGTCTGTTTATTTGTATTTTTATTGCCTATCCCCTGACCGAGCATTGTTCTGAGGGTTTGATTAAGACGGCAGCGATGATGGGATCACACCAAGGAGAGAGAGTTTGGCTAATAAACCGTTTTGAAGTGTGCAGCTGGTTTGCAGGGACCTCCGTTTTATGGAGGTGAACAGGTCACGCTGATTGATTTTGTCGGGGGCACTGGTGGCAAATCGAGTCGGCGGGGTGAGATGGTTCGTTCACCGGATAGACTACAAATAAATGAGTTTCTTCTCCAGCGTGAGAGCGCAGCAGGAAAAATGTTCAGCGATGAAGCATTTCTCTGCACGTGTAGCTTCTCCCTTCTTTACAGTGTTCAGCAGTGGAGCAGAAAACTAAAAGAGAATGAATGGAGGTGAAGTCTGACAGTGTTCTTACTTACTGGGATGGACTGCCGGGATCAAAGTCGTTTAGAATTTCTCAGGGTCGTGTTCCCTTTTCTGAGAGTTATGACCAAAACAACACCAAAGTTTAAAAGGTGGGAGAAAACATAACACAATGGAAAATACTGTGCAAAGAACTATGGAAACAATGAAGACAAAATACCATGAGATGAAGTAACCTGGATGTCTGAGTCCTGCGAATCACTAAATCAGAGTACGAACAGAGGACCTTGAGTGTAAATTGGTAGTTACAGGAGTCTGATGTCTGCAGGACACAGATTTAAACTGAAAGATAAAGGAAATCCATTTTGAGTGCTTCTCCAACTCATGCTCACTTTATTAGGAACACCTTTAAAATACTGTGCAGTATTTGTGGGATCGGTTCCACCAGATGTAGGTTAACCGGTGTTCCTTTTAGTGTTTCCACAGAAACTTAAAACCTGAAATGATGTTTTTCCTCTGCTCCGATCAAAGTTGAGAGTCTGGAAGGTCAAACTCTCTTCTTCGCACTCGTCAAACGTTCTGCTGCCCATAAATCAGTCACCCTGTCGTTTGGTTGGTTAGATTTGGAAATAAGAAAATCCCTCTTGCATGGAAAGAGAGTTTCAGTAATGGCAGTGGGACCGTTTCCCTGAAGCTCACTTCTCCTCCTTGTAGTGTCATTGGACGCACTTTTTCTGCTCGCTCACACAGTCGCCCTTTGCTGTAGTGAAATCCATCAATCTGTCATAGAGTCATGTGGTACAGTAGCAGGGAGGTGGACTCGTCGGCCAAATACTGTGCTCCTGTGTTTACTTGGCTGAATCCTGTCAACAGATGGAAAGCACAGAGTCCGAGGGAGGTTCTACATATCACGTCCGTAATTTATTCCAAGAGGGAATAAAAGAAATTCAGGGTTTGAGTTTAAACTTTAAACATTCATCCTCACTCAAGGATGTACTGATTAGAATTCGGTGGTCAAAGAAACATAAACAGAGACAATAGAGACAAAGGACACATCTTAACTTATACTCTTCTATCTCTTCCAGCAATCCTCAATGAGAAGTGGGAGTCGTAGGTTGGTTTGCATGTTCTGACTCGCCTTGTCTTTTCTTTTTCTGCAGGGTCTCTCAGGTCCTCCCGGAGAGAAGGGACCCCAGGGGCCTCAGGTGAGAGAATCCGTTAACAGGAGAATTCAGACCTGACATCAGAAAACTAAACATTTATCTTCCTCCTCTCGTTGTTGGTGGATTTAAACTGTGATTCCCATGAAAATTAACTGCCACATTTATTTCTCAATGCTCGTGTGGACAGTAGTGTCACAGTCAGGGATGTTTTAACCTTTTATTAACGATCTGAGGGAATTTGTTGAAGTGTCTCAGACCAGGACTTAATGTTTTCTCTTTGTGTCTCGTTGTTTGTCACAGGGTCGACCTGGAGACGAAGGACTCAGAGGGATTCAAGGCCCAGAAGTGAGTTTCACTTCATAGTGAAGTTGAGGACGTAGTAGATATTTTATCTGAAGCTGCGTCATTCGAGTGTTATTTTCGTAGATAACAAACGCTGGTTGATGAAGCGTTAACCGATTAACCAACAAGAATAAAATCCTCTCATTAGAATGGATGAGTGTGGGTGTGACAGGATAAACATAAAACATTTTACAACAAGGGTTGTTTGATTTTTACGTTTGCAAATAGCCACGTAAACAACAGAGCATAAAGATTCACACACATCATCACGCACCTGCTAATAGTGCAATAAAAACCACAGCGGCCACAGTGAGGAACAGTTTTTACAGAGACTCTGTCGGCCTCCATGTTTGTCCTGTTTAAAAATGAGCTAAATTATTTTAACATTTAATAATAACAACAATAATAATAATAGAAATAATAAGGTTGCTCCGTTCTAACATCTGTTCTCTGATCCCCAGGGGCCTCCAGGTGTTCCAGGTGCTGATGGGGCAAATGGAAAACCTGGACCCAGGGGAAGCGTAGGGACCCTAGGGCCTCAGGGGCCACAGGGGCCAGCAGGAATCCCAGTGAGTGGGTACTAACCATCGACTGCTGTTTTCACTTGTAGTCTGAAAAGATAAACATCCTGATTGTAAATTATTAGAAAACCACTCATTTGAATTTGTTTTTTTTGCGTCTCTTCAGGGGCCAAAGGGGCCTGATGGGTTATTAGGAGCAGCAGGGAAAAGAGGAAACAAGGTAAACTACAGAACACGGAGGAATCTATGATGATATGTGTTTTATTAACCTTCATTTATGATCAGTTACTGATCCGATGCTTTGATTTCCAGGGTTTACCTGGTTTACCTGGTGATCCTGGACCCACGGGACAAGGTGGAGAACAGGTTGGTAGAACTGGTAGTTAGTGTATTTTGTATTATATGCAAAAAAAAAAAAATGTTTATGTAAATATGATAAAACAATTTGTTGTTGTCAGCTGATTGTTGTTTTATCTTTTGCCTCATCAGGGTCTCCTTGGCCAAACAGGAATCGAGGGCCCCCCAGGACAGAAAGGAGATCAGGTCAGTGATTGTAATAGGACCATTCATTTCCTCACTGTGTGCAAACACTGCGCAGTTTTAAAAAGAAATTGATAAATTGTATTTCATCCTACATGAGGCCAAAATGACTCCAGGACCTTTATGTGGATGAAGCTCTTTGTTTAATGTTCACTGAAATGCCTGCAGTCTGATTTCCTGTGGTCTAATGTTGACGTGTTTCCGCAGGGCGACTCTGGGCCTTCTGGGAAACCTGGTCCTCCAAGTCCGCCCGGAGAGAGAGGACTTGAGGGGCTGAAAGGCCTCCAGGGACCCCCTGGACTTGTGGGTAAAGAGGTTGGTGCATTAATCTGCTCTTTATACAAACACAAACGATTCACAGATGTCGACACACGTGTCGAGTCTCATAGATGACAGGAAGTGATTTTCTAATTCAGTGAAGAATTTAATGACATCATGACATCACCTCCACTGTGTTTACAAACAGTCGGTGTGTTGTGGTGAACAGATGTGTTTGTTTTGTGTTGTTTTTTTTAATTTATTGCTGGAATTAGACTTTTATCTTCCTACAACATCTAAAAATAGTTCCAGCGCTTCATGATGTTAACCCTAAGCATGAATTTAACAACGATATAAATCACGGCCGCGGTTACGTAAAGTGTGAAATTACTTTTTCCTGATGATGCGTCGGTGGCAGTGCTTAACTTCCAGTGAGTCAGACACTGATTATATCAAACCAGCAGGGAACTGGTTTAATCTATAATTTATGTCAGACCTTCACTCAGCTTGATGGAGTTTGCTGCTGCATAAAGTGTCAATTTAGCTCAAAGCTACTGAACATAAAACTCTGCGCTGCTGGTTTTTGAATATTTTTTCATAATCTTTGTATTAAATTACAACATATTTGTATTTTAAACACATTTTTTGAGTTTCTTGTTAAATGAGAAAGGTCTTCATTTAAAAAGATGAAATGTGTTGGTGAGTCTTCCAACAAACTTCAGCTTCAGGGGATGAAAATAGATTAAAAACAAGGCAAATAAAAGCAACTGTGGGCAGACGGAGAGTGCATCCCTCCACAGAGGCTGATTTATTTTATTTATATTTTACATTTACTTTATCACCATGTTGCATTTACATGTATATAGAGATCAGACCCATGCACCATACAAAGCAATGTTCTGCAAACGGTTCTACATTAAATGCAGGACAAATATCCATCCTCTGATATAGCGGACAGGAATGTTTGTGAAACTCCTTTCTACAAGTTTCAAGAAAATTGAGACTGACTGACAGCAATGAAAACATAACGTCCTTGGTGGAGGTCGTTAATGAGGAGAGTCCTGAGGTACAGTGAAGTCAGACAGCTCCTCATCTGTTCGCTCCTCCTCTGCAGGGTGACGTCGGCCATCCTGGTGAAGCTGGAGGTCCAGGTCCCAAAGGGGAGAAGGTAAACTCCGCTATGTCTTTAAATTCAGTCTGTTCAAAGTGAACCGATGAGGTAGAGTTTCACCTCTTGGTGATGTTTGCAGTTTGTGATCAGTCTGTAGTTTACTGTCAACAGGGTGAGGTGGGGCCTCTGGGTCTGTCTGGTCGAGAGGGCCCCTGGGGAGACCTCGGAGAGAACGGAGAGAGGGGTCCGAAGGGGGAGAAGGGCCACATCGGACTGATGGTGAGCATTTTTACTACATCATGTGTTAAAGCATCAAAATAAAGATTATACAGTTTCTTCTTGTTATGAGTTTTTTATATCTCTGATCAGTCAGATTGATTTATTCCAGAAGAAACTGTGTCTGATGTCACTTTCTCCCTCTTGACCAGGGTGAGCCGGGGCTTGTGGGTAAAGTGGGACCCGCAGGTCTGACGGGTTTACGGGTGAGTTTGTTCGTATTGATGCTGTCGATGTTGTTATGTTCAGAACGACCTTTAAATTAACCTTTACTGATCAGTCGTTAGCTGTAGCTGTTGTGTATTGATCCATCTGACGGATGTGTCGTTTTTAAATGATTCTTCCTGTTTCTCGTTTTGTCTGTTGTGTGTTTGTGTTCGTTTCAGGGAGGCACGGGCCCTCGTGGACCTCCGGGACCAGATGGAGCTCAGGGACAGAAGGTGATAAAAAAAAAAAAAGGTTTCTGTAACACGCTGCTGTTGTAACTGTGCATCGCGGTTTAATCTGTTAAATCAGAAGAAACCTTTATGATTTCCCATCGTTTCTCCAGGGGGAGTCTGGGCTCATAGGAATAACTGGAGCTCCTGGGTCAGGAGGCCCTCAGGTAACCTGTGATTAAAGTTAATATTTTCTACAACACTGTATAAAAGTATGTGTTCAAAATCCATCGGTTATTCTCCTTGTCTTGTTCTTAGGGAATCAAAGGAGCACGTGGTGTCAAAGGAGACGCAGGGAGGCTGGGACCTTCTGTAAGTGTCGCTGAGAATCTGGAAACAATTCACGTTATCTCGTCACCGAGCGTTTCACTGATTTCTCTTTATTGGCAGTTTGGTAGTTTTGCTACTGATGGTTTTTAAAGCTGATTTATCTTTTGTTTTATCGCACTAAACTTTATAAATTAAGTATCTGATGATGATTGAATAACTTTTAATTAACTAGAAAATAAAAATATGTTTCTAGATCCGATGTATTTTGCCGAATCACTGTGACCAAAGCCCAAATGCAAACTAAACAAACTTGAATTTCATGCAGTCATAGATTCGGTGCTTTTAATATGCCTGATTTGTTTTTTTCATCAAAATTCATGAACTTTTCTCCGGGAAATCGAAACAACATCACCCTGGAGCCGCCTCGTTCAAAACCATGTCTCATCCTTTCATGAAGTTTCGTGAAAATTTGTTCACAAACCAGCGATGGACAGTGGTGGAAAAATATCCTTCCTGGTGGAGGTAACAACTTAATAATGTGATGGTAATTCAAAATGCATTTTTATGATGTCTCCACCTCAGGGTCCAGGAGGACAAGTCGGACCTCAGGGAGACCAGGGAGAGATAGGAGAACCAGGACCACAGGGAGAGAAGGGAGAGCCAGGAGCTCCAGGTCCAACCGGGGAACAGGTTAGATGCTGTGACAGCTTTGAAAGTTCTGAATACGACCTTGATTCATAGTGACTAAATAAATGAACTCATGTGTATGACTTAAATATCCATGACACTAACTGAATCGATCACCTGATCAGGGTGAAGATGGTCTGCCTGGAATCCAAGGTCCTCCTGCTCTCCCAGGGTTTGAGGTGACAACGTAACACAGCAGCATCAGCACGTTCTGATGTTAAATCTCCTCGACTGAAGATTTATTTTATCTCTGACTTGATTTCTCTATTTCTTCTCAGGGGGCTCCTGGAGAGATGGGTCCTCAGGGTCCCCCAGGTCCCCCAGGGGCTCCTGTAAGTACGAGCACAGAAACACTGCACATGATGAAATCTCGTTTATTAACCCAGATATTTTATGGCTAAATACTGAGAATTAACTGAAGATAAAAAACATTCTAATGTCTTGCAAAATGAGAAAACATTAATATTATATTGCTGTGCAGGGAGGACCAGGAAGACCAGGACCCGAGGGGACCAGAGGCATGGATGGGGAGAAGGTATTGTTAAACAGATTCATGAATCGGTCTATGTGACTTTCTTTCAATTTATTTTCAATCCAGATTTCACGATACAAAGTGTGCGGCTACTAAAAATCAGCTTCTGCATTTGGAGTTGGGCTGAAGAGACTGATGAGTTTTTGTTTTTTTACTTCTGCAGGGAGACGACGGCATGAACGGATCACCAGGAAAGACTGGTCATGTTGGCCGCAGGGTGAGAACATATTTTGCAGCAGAAAAGCAGCTTGAAATAATAATTTGATGAATTTTCAAAAAGGTCAACATTTGGTAATTTTTTCTGTGTGGAATCAAATTCTCTGTCTTTTTATGGAGGAGAGTCTGACCTGGAAAACAGGAATTTTCATATAGATACACAGTGGCGTATTTGCACAGGATGATAAAGCTATTGTGACAGCCACTGCACAAACAGACTCATGCATAAAACATTTGGTCGTTTCGTGTGTGTGTGTGTGTGTCCTCTTGCTTTCCGTTGCCTCATTAAAAAACATGACAAACTCGTTCTCAGGGGAAGCGGGGGAAGGCTGGAGTCAGGGGGACCCGTGGAGACCGAGGACCAAAGGTGGGACACGTGGAAACTAGAGCTCAAGCTTTGTGAACACGTAGTTTAATCACGATGTATGAGCCAACTAGCAAAATTGCTCTTTTGTCACTCAGGGCGAAAAGGGAGAACGAGGACAGGAAGGTATCCCCGGGTGGCCAGGTCTCATCGTAAGTCGATGAATTCATTTCACTTAACGTCCATTCATTTAGTTTTTATGTCCTCGCTGAACAAATCCACGCAAACTCCTCTGAGAGTTTCTGTTCAGCAGATCTGTCGCCCTCAGTGGTTCGGAGACAAGAAAATGACAAATTAAAGAGTTTCACTATCAAAGTTCATTTTATCAGTCTGAGAACTAATGTCCGCTTTATACACGTCTTCTGTTTTTATCATTAGGGAATTCCTGCGTTACGAGGAGAGCCGGGGGATCGCGGTGAAAAAGGAAGAGAGGTAAAGAATTTCCATCCAGTACCAAACACAATAACATCTCACAAGATTAAATGAATTAGAAACAAGCCTTGTTTAAATTTGATTTAGCAAAAAAATTATATAACTGGCTTTTTAAATATACTCGTAATGTTCCTTTTCTTTGTTGCGATAAACAGAGCTGACAGAAAATGTTTGAATGTAATGTGAATTTATGATCCAGCCTTTTCCAATAAACACCGAGTGTTATACGTTATATAACATGCACCAGGGAATTTAAAATAAAATTAAAGAGAACCAAGAAAACACAGGACACTCAAATGTATCCGTACAGTAAACACATTGATATTCATACATGCACATGCACATGCTCTCCCCTAACACCCAGGAGAAGATTACATTAGTGAAAAGAAATTTAAAATAAAAGTGGTAAAATTAAGTGATAGAAGGTTGGATCACAGACCTCCGTCCTGTAGCAGCCGCCATGCTTTAGTTTGTCCGGCATCAGTTTCATATTCAACCAAAGGTCATTTGTTTTTCTAGATAACATTAGAGACTAAGCAGCATATGCAGCATGCTCTCTAGTTGTTGTCCATAACATTGTAACCGTCCACGCAGACAGTCAGACCCATAAGGCAATGCAGGTCTCTCTCTCTCTTGTATTTCACCGTCACACGCACCCCTGAATGAATGAATGAATGAATGAATGAATGTGAGATGTATCACAACCAAATAAATGGGCAAAGACTTTTCAAAGAAATTCTTAATTCTTTACAACATTTCTCTCGACTTTAACAGACTCACATAACCTGAAGTTTCCTGTCGCTGTGATCCGCTGCTTCTTGTTTTAAAACCTTCTGGGTTCAGTTCGGTTTCACCACATCAGCATTTTTTTTTTTTTTACTGTGGAGGTTAAACTGTGAGTGTTTGTGTCCTCAGGGTGAGAAAGGAGACATGGGACTCCCTGGACCAGCCGGAGGTGACGGCGCCAAGGTAGGAGCTGTCGAGGTTTAATGTGTTATAAAGAGATAAAGTGAGGGCTCAGGTTTTTTACGACCTGAGTACACGGTGAGTCCAAAATCCACTTACGCTAGTTTAACAGCAGAAAAAAAGGTCAGTGCAGCTGGAGCATGGTTCAGATGTGTTGTGGTTATTATCTTGATTAATCACTCGTGTGTGTTTGGGGAAGAAAATGCAATTCAGATTGTTGGTAAAAGGGAATGTTTCCAAGCAGATCAACTATGTGTGTTTTTGTGAATGAAACGTTCCCACAAACAAAACAAGACAAGCGGCTGCGAACGTGAACACACACCTCCGTCCTGACGAGGTGCGATTTTTCTAAAATAAGCAGTTTCTGATGAGATTGTGCAGCGAAGAGATCGATGTGGTGATTCCGTGTCAGGGCGAGAATATGAAAATACGTTGCATGAAACTCGTCGTGCCATTATCGCCGTTTTTCTTTCCAGGGAATTTGTGGTGCCGCCGGGTTGCCAGGTCCTGCAGGCCTTAAGGGAGAGCAGGTACATAAAATACAGATTTAAGTTGGAAAATATATGTAAATATGTTTTAATATATGATCTCCACCTCTGTGTCTCTAAGGGGAGTATTGGACCTTCAGGGCGGAGGGGGGGGCCTGGGATGCCAGGGATGCCTGTAAGTTTTGAATCCACTTTATAAAGAGTATATTTTGTTTATTTAACACATTTGTTGTTTGAGTGCCTCTCAAAGGGAAAAGATCAAATGCGCAGGTCTTAAGTTTAGGAGAATCTTATTTATACTCATTAGCCTCCCATTTATATTTCGTTTTTTCGATTCAGGTTATTCTTTAACGGAACGAACTTTACAAATCTGAATTTTCCCTTGAATTTACAAAGTTAATCCCTTTTTGTTCTTGTTTCTGTATCTCAGGTTTTTTTTATTTTAGCAGCTCGTCCATCACTCAGACAGATTTTTGACAAAGGAAACGTTATTGTTTTTGTCATTCCCGTTATCTGTCAGCCAATCAGCTGCCAGCGTGTTGACTCTTTCACACATGATGATCAACACATCGTGTCTTTAGGGGATAAAAGATCGTTTGTCAGACGTGTGAATCCGTGGCTGATGAGTTTGTAAAGCAGCAGATTAAAATCACCGGGAAGCTCTTTGTAGATAAATTCACTTCACAGTGGAAAATCACACTAATGCCATTTTCTCCTCCTGTGCTCTTTTCTGTTTCAGGGTTTGTTTGGATTCAAGGTATGAAAACGACGAGTCGAGCACTTGACCTCTTCCATCGCTCTGCTGCGTGTTGATAACACATTTAATTTATAAAGCTGTCACACTCTCCAGTCTGTGTTAGGATGCATTTGGACTTTGCGGGAATCTTCATTTCTGTATCAGTGTAGTTTATATATTTATATTTGAAAGTGCAGAACGCTGCTGAGTCGTGTGTTGTGCTCGTCTGCAGGGTTTGAAAGGATACCAAGGTTCTCCTGGTCAGCCCGGCAGGAAGGGCCTCCCGGTAAGTTTAATAAATACATGTTTTATCAGTTTACGGCATCTTTCCTAAAGAGCTTAAGTTTCCTATAACTTTTTCATAACTTAATTTGTGCGTCCACCTTGTGTCTCAGGGTCCACCGGGTGTTCCTGGTCCTCCGGGACAGTCTCTGAACTTGACTTTGACTCAACTCAAGGCAAGTTATCTTCATCTCCAGTCTTCAGATCACAGAAACGTGCATCATTAGAACGTGTGCTTTTCTATTCAAGGTCAAATTCACATTAAACCTTTTTGTCACACACTTGTTGTTTCTAAATTCTCTTTCCGTGACCAGGACCTGATGTACGTGTCCGATAAGCCGAACCTTCCCCTGGTCCAGACCCTGCTGGACTCTCTGCAGCAGGACCTGCGGCTGCTGGTGGATCCTCCCGACGGCAGCAAAGAGCATCCTGCCACCACGTGTCTGGAGCTGTGGCTCTGTCACCCCGAGCTCAGCAGTGGTCAGTGAGGAGATCTCTCCTTTAAATACTATATCGCTCAGAGTAACATCGTGAAAAAAAAACCTCAATACAATCCTGTTAAACATTGAATTCAATGAACTTCAGCACCTTTCACGAGTCTGAATTGTGTCACTGACCACAAGCAAAACACGTACGAGGGTTTTAAATTGGTCAAATCTATTCGTTACTTACTCTAAAACAACATTTCTGTTAGAAGAAGGTTGTTTTAATTTGGCAGCGAAACACATTTATTATTAAAAATTGTTAAAGCAGCGAAAAACACTGTGAAGATGCTCTGTGTATTTTATTTAGGGGCTCTATCTGCATAAATGTAATATGTAGAATTCATAATTATGTTTGAATTAGTGTACAATCAACTGAAACCGAGATCTTTTTTAGTGTTTAGATATTAGAGTGGTTGTGTCTCTGCTCACTTCTTCCTACTCTTCAGTTCATTCACATCTCACCAACCTCTCTCTGCAGGAATGTATTACATCGATCCCAACCAGGGCAGCCCAGCCGACGCTCTGCTGGCTCACTGCAGCTTCTCCTCCTCTGCACAGCAGACCTGCCTCCATCCCAGAGACTCTCAGGTATGAAGCGTCAGCGGACAGACGGGCCGCGGGAAAAAAATGTCACTTCTGGATCAATGACGTACTCGTTAGCTTCATGTAGATGTGGAGTACGACCCTGAAACTCTGGTGAATTGTCCGTCAGCTCTGCAGTGATGACTTGAAGCCGTCCGTATGGAAAACACTTCCTGATTTGACGAGGCATCATTAGGGAGAAAAACATTTTTGATACACATGTGATGGCAGCATACACACACACATATACGTGTATATATATTATGTGGCACTGATTTCTAATATGCTATCTTATGCAAAAGAAATATAATTAACGAATGATTTAAAGAACTAAACAAACTCAACCAAACATAAAGAACTCAAACATAAGTGCACATCTTTACTGAGTTGTTAATTCTGTAAAATAAAAGTTTGTCAGCACATATCGGCAAACGCTGTTTACGATATGTCTGCGAAAAGCACATTTATATATATACATATATATATATTTATTTTATTTACCACACACACAGTTGGGGGAAGCACTGTGAATGAGAGCATCAGGATAATAAGGATACAGATATTGTTATTCTCGTTGTGTTTCTCTATCTGGATGAAAACACAACACGCATTCAGCTCCCTGCCTTTCTTCTCCACTCTGCTGCAGTCAATAAAACATAAAACGCAAATCAAAAGAATAATATGAATTGGTCATGGGTACAGCGTGAAGGGGAAGCCTGACACTAAGGTATCCAATTATACCTGAGGTTCATTCTCCAGCTGCATGCTAATCCACCGACCTGCACGAACACACACATGACAGCAGGACTCGCATTCAGATTTGCAAATGTGCGTTCTCTCCCGTGCGCCTGCAGCTGCCCATGAAGGCCTGGATGAAGGAGTTTTCTGAGGAGGGGTCTTTCGAGTGGCTCAGCCGGATGGAGCAGGGTTTTCAGGTTGGTCGCGTCTCTCCCCTCATCGTGAAACTGCCAAATTAAACATTTGCTGTAAATTCTCCGGCGATTTCAAACTACTCGTGGATTTTAAAAAATGAAAAAATGATCAATAAAGACTTATTTAATCTCATCCCTTCTCGTCTTTAATTAATAATTATCTCGTAATATATTGGATGATCAGGGTCAGCGGAAAGTTTTTATATCTGTATAAATGATGCATGTTTACACAACCAGCAGAAATGATGGCCTTCTTCTCTTCAGTTCTACTACCCAGGTGCTAATGTGGTCCAGATGCGGTTTCTGAGGTTACACAGTACCACTGCCGTCCAGAAGTTGACCTACTCCTGTCATCCAGGACATAGACTGGGCCAGACGGACAGAGACATCAAATTTCTCACCGACACCAGGAGGCAAAGTTACCTCGGAGCACTTAAAGACTGTGTGGTACGTAAAAACGATAGCTCTACTCTTAACGAGGGGTTTTCACCATCAATCCAGCGAAGCAGTTAATTAAAAACACATGATCATGGCAGCAAACATTAGATGCAGCCCTGATGGATCAATGTAAAACACTTGTATTGTATTTGCTGTTCCTCAGCCTGGAGAGGAGATGGTGTCCGGACCTCGTGAGTCTGTGTTCGAGTTCGAGGACCTCCAGCTGCTTCCTCTCAGAGACTTGGCCGTAATGGCGGGAGGAAACCTCACGTTCCCGTTCGGCTTCACGGTCGGACCCGTGTGTTTCAGCTAGAGAGGCTGGACCACTGACTCACAGGTCCGAGACTCAAACCTCTGTTCTAAACAAGGACTCCAGGAGGACAACTGGAACGTATCCTCCGACGTTGGGTCCTTTTCCTCTTGTATTTTGGGGATTCGATCTCTCAAGCTGAGTGACTCCATATTAATATTCATTTGAGAGGGCACGAGCGCTCCCCAACCTTTTGTTTTTACGGAGAAGTCAATTTTGTTTACAGAGACATTTATCTTGCATTGAATAATTTATATATGTTTTGCTTTTTGTTACGTATTCAGGGCTTCTGTTATCGCCTGCCCATCGTGTATATAAATGTCCCGACTCGCCTCTCAACAATGTGTTCTGGATGGGGACACAGCTACCGTCGTCCCATTGGCCACATGTGACCGAGCCAGTCAATTCTCTCACTGTACTTTATCTGCTCTTTACTGTTTTTCTCGAGGTGCTCATCAAGTTTTATTTGACTAAACAACATTTATTTAATTCCAAAAACGATAAAAGTTCATATTATCTCAAACATACTTGATATATACTTAAATAAAATGCGACACAGCTGATAGTGTTTTTACAGTTTTCATATAATTTCATGTATTTTCACATCTCAGGTATAACACTTTAATGATATATATATATATATACACACACACACACATGGGCACTGAAGCTGTTGTTCCCACAGTGCGTTGTTGGTCTTGTAGACAAATGGAAAGAATAGAAATGTTAAAGGATATAAACCAACAATGAGCTGTCATCTGTTCTCTACGTAGACGATGTTTGAAAGAACTTCTCCTCTTCAGCAGTTCAGTCCTGCTGCTGGCAACAATCAGCCGAGGATCAAAATAAGTAACCTCTTAGTTCTGTTTGGGATTTCAGCCCAAAAACTTTTTTAAAATAAATCAAACCAAACTAAAGTCGCTCTTTTTAAAGGTTTTACATTTTCATGGGGGTCAAATGTGTTTTGGAGAGAGAGGTCAGAAAACATTCAGAGATGCATAAAGCGCCATGTCGGTTTTGATCTGATAAAGTTTTTAAGTCTTTTTAACTGATCCCTAAAGTTCAGCTTTACTCTTCAACTTGCTGGAGCTGATTCTGACAGTTGAAGCTGTGACTCTCAGTCAGTTCCACACGTCTCAGGAGATCGAACCCACTCACCAAAGTTACACAGAACACACGTTCAGGGAATGTTCACTGAAACGTCCAACTCATTTTAATGAAGCTTTCGTTTAAAGGTAAAAAACGTTGCTTTAATAACGCCGGCCTTTTCCTGTGCATTGTTAATTCTGCTATCGTGAGTCATTGGGCTTTAAACGACACCAGAGGTTAATAGACATTAGTTTGTCTAAACACTTAAGAAATATTAAAATCAAACATCTTTGGAAGAATATAGTAAAAATTTGAGATCAGGAATTATTCGAAAGGTGAACATGGACTCAGATTCAGGCTGGAATTTGAAGTGGAACTAAATGGTTGGTTATCGAGGTTCTTTTTTCCCCTCTCCCTGAGGGTCCATAACAAAAATGTAGCAGCTGCTTTAATACATCATTCCCTGACAGCGAATGAGAGTTAACCACATTTTCATGAGATTTCATTCTGCTACACATCTGTCCAACAGACGTACATTATATAATTTACTACTTTAACTATAGAAATGTTAGATTAAGGTGTGTGAAGGAGATTCTCTCTCTTTTTTTTGTGTTATTCTCGGTGAAGTTAAAGGAGACGTATGACGCTTTTTAAATTTTAAATTTCCTTTTTGTAAATGTAAAAGTTCTGCAAAGTTAAAACGGCCTGGTCTGCAGTGAAACGCCTCGACAGTCAATCTGCACCACTGTGATGTCACAATGGCCCACATTTGCATAATGTGAGCAGAATATGTCTCCTTTAAGCAGTTTACACATCCAGAACAATACTGTATTTTTTTTCACTGTACTGTAAAGAACTTCATCTAATCTGAGAAGTGAGTCCAGAGAAAAGGAACAGAGTCTTGTCGCTCCTCAGCAGAATCAGGATCGTGTCTCGCGGCCCGTCAGCAGTGAGAGAAGTAGTGTCGTGTGCAGTCTGCAGGGAACAGAGGATTCAGAGGAGTAAGATCTCAGGGAGCGGAGTTTACCTGCCTCGTTCAATTAGCAGCTCTGAAGCTGGGGAAACACCAAAACTTCAATTTCAACCAGATGGATTACGTTAAAGTTTAAAGGTTTTAGCCACCGGTTTGCAAATTCTGGTTGTTGTAATGTTTTTGTATTTACATTTGATGATCATCATTCCACATGATTGCCTTAGCTGGCTGAGACTGATCATTGTTACTTTACTTGTTGTTGTTTTTTTTTGTTTTACAAATTGTCATTTTAAAAAGATATAAAATGACATGCTGGACATCTGTGTCGTGTTATTCCTTCATCAGCTCGTTCATCAACTGGATTAAAAATCCAAATGTTCACGCTGTGTGATCTGTGTTGGACGTCACACAACTTAAAGAGTCAAAGGTTATCGATGTGTTCGATCCTGAAGGAAATGTGACCGTCTCTTAAAAAAACGCACCTAAAGCCCCGGTCGTTTTGTTTTTGAGAAACAAGAAGTGAAAAAACTGTTAAGAGCTATTTGAAGATCACGGGGCATTCGAAATATAGAATAAAAAATGTTAAAGTGAAAACAAAATAAAATAAAACATAATGAAATAATTAATTTGATTTAATAGAATAAGAGGATAAGATCAGAACAAGGAGAAAGTATTAAATATTATTTAGATTCAAATAAAATAAAACATAATGAAATTATTCAAATAGGATGATGTAATAGATTGATATGATAAGATTCATTAAATAAATAATAAATAATAAATAATGAATAATGAATAATAAATAATAAACAATTAATAATAAATAATAAATAATAAATAATAAATATATCTGAGTTGGGTGTGGGCAGGTCATTGCAGGGTTTACGCCCACTCCGTCACATGACCACGCCACATGACCACAGGCCCGCCCCCCCAGCGCTGACACTTCCGCATGCCTTCCCCCCCTCAGCTAGCTTTAGCATGCTCCACTGTGTTTACATCGTGTGACGGCTCATGACGCGGACTCCTCGCCTCACGTCGACAGTCGGAGCCGCTGCTGGGTCTTTAATGTCGGCGCCGGGGGACGGAGGACAAGCGTCTCTATCCATCCGGGGGACAACGAGCACAGGCAGGAAGCTAATCCTCTCTCCGCTGCTAGGCTAACGGTGGGTTAGCTTCCGGGGGGCTAGCGTCGTCTGTGAACCAGTGAGGCAGTAGGAAGGTGAGGGGGGGGACAGTTCACCTGAGGGGGGAGACAGGCAACCTGTCAGGGGTGGGGGAGGCAAACTGCTGCAGAGGGACAGATGAGCCCCTTTAGCTTCAGTAGCTAAATGCTCAGAATCACATGTTGACATTTAGTCATGTTGAGTCTTTGCATGTGTCCCACACGGATGTAACTTTAAAACCAGCGTGTGTGTGTTGTTCAGAGGAGCAGCTCGTGTTAGTGCTCTGTCAGAATCAACCTCCTGTTAGGTTTTCTAACTCTGAGTCAGCGTTGGAGCTCTGCAGAGAAAAGTCATTTCAGATTTTTAGAAGTTAAACGTGTTTTTAAGAAACATCACACGCTGGTGACAGATTAAGAAACAACAACTTCATCAACGTGACAGTACAATGAAGTCACCACACCTGCAAATACAGACACGTGCTGCAAAAGGCAGGTGAAGGAGATGGAGATGCAGACAAACACGTTTTAAAGTGACTTACACAGAGAAAGACCTTAAGTTTTAAGGGTTTTTAAAAGTCTTCTGTGTGTTTACACCTGATTTGTAAAACTACTCAATTGTAGTGTTAAATGAATAGAGAATGAATGTACACTTTAAAAGCATGTATGTAAATATACATGTTGTATTAAGAAAACAAAGGCTTTTGAGTCAGCTTCATCTCCAGACTGCTGCAACTCCATATTACAATATCCATGATCTGACACCAAAACAGTTCCTATAAATTTAATCTTTTCAGCAAATATGTAGTTTATATACTTTTCGTTGTGGTGTTCTTTTAACCACTGGCCTCCAAAAGCCGTACAGGTATTATAACATCAACCATGCTCACATCAGGAAACCTGGAACTTGATGTTTTTACTCTTTAATTGACAAATATGATTGATTGTTCATGAAGAGAGTCGTCAGTTAATTTTAAATATCGATTGATTTGTTCCATCAGACCTTTCATCAGCTTCTATGACCTTTGATCGTCTGCCCCGATCAGAGGATGTATCCGCCTTCCAGAAAGGACTTCATCTCTCTGACGCTCAGTGATCCGCACAGTCACGCCTACAACAATGGCAAGCACCGCAGACAGTCCTGCTGGAGGGTGAGTGCCCCTGTGGTTGAATCTACAGAACTCAGTTTTATCACTTTGGCAGACCGACCTTGGTTTCTGCACCTGAACTCTATCACAGGTTCTCACTCAAGACTCTGGTCTGCATCCACCGAAGACGGCCGTGTTCGTATCTGGGATATTTTGGCTCAAATAGCAAACCTCGCTGAGCCGAGTCCCGGAACACACGTGTAGCGTGTTCTCATGCACACCCTGATTGACAGGCACACACAGAAAACCAGTAAAGAGGCAGAAGGTTACGTTAAAAATGTTATGGATTTTATGACAGATTTCCCTCAGTGCTCCAAATGGCCTGGTCGACTTTGACGGATAGGTTTGTGTGTCTGTGTGTCAGAGGGGGTGAGAATGGGCCAAGGAGGCGCTATGGAATCGATGAAAGAGGATTTCTCTCATTTGAAACAGTACAAAAATAGAAAATCAATATGTGGCTGTCAGTGTTGATGTTGTGTCGTCAGACAACCACACACCAGAAATAAATAAATGCATCCTGTCACCTCAGGTGTGTGGGTTGAATGAATGCTCGTACATTAACAGGCATTATATGATGTTGAGTGGTGACCGAGTCGAGAACATGATTTATTTTTACCAATCAATCTGCTTTATCCTGAGATGAGTCAGAGCATTTATCAAACTTCAATTCACTTTCCATTTTCAGTCTATAAGTAGCTGTAATGTTTTCATCTTTACATCCTAAATGTTCATAAATATTGTTCTTTATATTTTACTTATAAAGAAATCTACCAAATTTCTTGATTCTGAGGGGAAAAAAACTGCGTTAATCACCATTTTAACACACACGAGGGACTTCATTTTACGTGAATTGAAAAGGCAAACCAGCCATCTCATCGACAGATGAATAACATTTTTATCAGGGCTATATATCAACAGACATTTCTTCTATAAATCCAGTTTTATAGTTGGGACATCGTTCTGGATCAGCACTCTCCTGTACCTGTGGTCGTCAAATTTGACGACGGTTTATGGGAACACCCTTCTCTGCAAATCACGTTCATTTGAGTGGCTTGTTGGCTCCATGTTTGCTCCTCACACGGTGAGAAATAACTTTCTGTGCAGATGGAGAAAAAAACGATTTTCTATTCAGCATTAACTGCATTTCCATCCAGTTATTTTTTAATCTGCGTATAAAGAATGGATATGACAAAAAAATCTAAATCTTCAAATATTGCATACAAAGGTTTTTTGGGTGGAGAGAGGTGAAAGTTTGAATTCAAAGCTCCAGACGAGACAAACCTTCTCAAGGTTTTATTCTTGATTTAAAAAAATGTTTTGACGAGGAACCTTTAAGCTGCACAGAACGTTCTCTTGCTGTTCGTTTGAATGAACTGGAGCAAAGTCAATGTCCCCTGAGATCAAGTCTTTTGTGTGCTCCGTTGCTGCTCACACATACTATGGCACAATAGTTTCATGGTGTTGCATAGGTGTTAATTAGAGGAGGTACCTGAGTTGTAGCAGCCTGTCTGTTGGTCTTGTCTCCTGGGACACCCTGACTCTGTCCCTCCCTCTGCACCGCTCCGGTGAACGGGTTAGATTGTTCATTTGGGAGCTTAAACACGCCGGTAGAGAGATGTTGAGTCTATCCAGGGTAAGCGAGACAAGGAAGGTTTTTAAAATCTGCTGTTTTTGAAGGAAGGATAAACAGATATGTATAATTTTACAAAAACGAGGAGGAGGAAGTGGTTAAATCTGTCTTCAAATGCTTGTAAATTGATCTCAGTGCCGTAACTTCTGTTGGTTTATTTGCCGACAGAAATGGAAGCAGTTGTCGCGGCTCCAGCGAAGCCTCGTCCTGCTCCTGCTGGCTCTGCTGCTCATATTTGGACTGCTCTCATATCCAAGCATCTCAGAGCAATGGGGAGGTAAACAGTGCTCACACAACACTACACTGACTCACAGACAGAAACCAATCTGTCATTAATTAATTTAGTAACAAACCTTCTCATGACTAATTGAAGTGATTATTTGGATTGCCTCCTTATTGTGTTGGGCTGGTGATGATTAATTGCAGTTGCTAAAATACCACGCAAGACATTTTTTTGGGGGGGGGTTAGTTTTTATGTGTTTATTCAGGGTTTGTCCTCTGCCAGGCCCAACGATTATTATTATATAACATTGATTTATTTTGAAATTGATCATAATTTGTGTTTTGGCTTTCTGTTTTGCACCATTGCTTCATAACTGTGTGTGGCGCTCTTCGCATCCTTCTCTCTCTCTCTCTCCGTCTCTCCCTCTCACTTGCTCTCTCTGCCTCGGTGGGCCAACAAAACACCCGTAAAGGTTTAATCATCCTCGCAGGCATGCCGTCCTCGTAGCTTCAGTCTGAGCTTGATTACTTGTTGTCTTTGCCGATAGATTTGTCTGACAGGGAGGACTGGCTGGAGCTGACTGACAGAGAGTTGAATGCAGCCCCTCCTGCGGTGAAGCCTGCGTTGGGTGTTGCTGCTGCGAAAGTCCTGGCTCCTGTGCCGGAGCCACATTTGGGACCAGTTGATATTCCAGATTCTGTGGCGGAGCCCAGAGGACCAAACTTCCCTATTCTGGCAAAACCTCCCATTAAGGTTTGAGTTTTTATTCATCACATCAACCAAAAATAAACAAAATGACAGTATATTGAGTTTATACTTCATGGATGTGGAATATAATATATATAATTTAATATATATAACCCTTGTGGCCCACACACATGTATTTATACACTATCAGTCCTGTTCCTTGGAGCGTTCATGTTGTGTCCCCTGTTTCTAGCTCTAGCTGTTTGTTCATCCGCAGAAAAAGACAATTACAAACAAGAGAGGTCCACCAAGCACGAAGAAAGATGCTTCAGACGGTGGAGAAAATCAAGAGCAAGTGGTTGTTCAAGAAGAAGGAGGAGCGGATGAGGACAAAGATAAAAAAATCGTCAGGTGATCTGTTTGTTTCTCTTTTACTGCTCAGAAAATTTGCATTTTAATACAAAAATACTCGAGATCTAAACCTAATTTCTCCCGGCTGCACCCGGGCCCTGTGGCAGCTGTCTTGTCTTTTTGTAGCGCCTGTATCCGAGAGGCAGTCATAAATAATTCACGCGGGTTTTTTTTACTCTCGTCATGCAGCTGGAGAGGAGCGATGATCGAAGCCGAACAGGCCACGGAGCCTCCACCTTCGGCCGCTGAGAAAGACGCTGCGGCGCCCCCGGCCAACCCTGCTGACACGCTCCCACTGGAAGGTCAGTACTCAACTGCTGGTTTTCCTGTGAAGAGGTTTGAGGCACACAGCAGGTATAAACAATTTTATTTAGGCTGTTAAATGTTAAACTAGCCAATAATGTCTCAGAAACCAAGGTCACATCACTAAATCTCTTGTTTTGTTTTGACTAACAAGAGAAGCCATGAGTTTCCGTCATTAGAAGTCGGCAGCAGGGTGGGACAGAGAAAAGTCTTCACACTTCTCGGCTCCGTCTATGACGTTATTGTATTTCCCCTCAAACAGATTCTGTAAAGCAGCACCGGCCGGCTCTGCTTTTAAAAGCCCTGCACCTTTTTAAAGTTTCAACACTTTCAACTCGCAGGATAAAACCCTGATGTGCTCAAAGCAGGAGCATCAACACATGGCACAGAATATTCTATCCATCCACTGAAAATAATCACTGTAGAGGGAGAGACTCCGAGAGGACACACAGGCTTTAATAAAACACTGTCATCTTCTTATTTATGTCTTTTTGGGACATTGTAGTATCAACTGGAAAGGTGGACAGACTGGAGGCCGTGCGTGACGCCTTCAGACATGCGTGGAAAGGCTATAAGGACCACGCCTGGGGTCACGATGAGCTCAAGCCCATTTCCAAGTCGTTTGGCGAGTGGTTCGGTTTGGGTTTGACCCTCATTGATTCTCTGGACACGATGTGGATTTTGGGGCTAAAAGAAGGTATTTTATTTCACTGATTCAGCTGTTGGCAACATCTTTGAACAACCGTGTTAAATCAACAAATCACTCACTCTGGTATTCTGACTCCACACAGAGTTTGAAGAAGCGAAGAACTGGGTAGAGAAAGAGCTCACCTTCAACAAGAACGTGGACGTTAACCTTTTTGAGACGACTATCCGCGTCCTCGGGGGCCTGCTGAGCACCTACCATCTATCAGGATATCAGCTCTTCCTCGATAAAGCAGTGAGTCGGCTGGAAATGGGTTTTCTGATTCGAGATAATAATAATAATAAGAAGAAATAATAATACTTTGCATAACCTCTTCATAAGAATAAAAGATCATGTGAAGCGTTCACAGCGTGATAATTGAGGCTGTAAAAATGCAGCGCCCGTTTATAATATCATGCTATGTTTTCTTTCTGTTGAGAGCAAGTGCAGGACATATTCAGAGAGGTCGTTATGGAAGAATTATTCATTGTTTTATTTGTCTGTCTGTTTTGGAAAAGCCGGAGACCTCTGCAGATAATTAAGCCCCCAGTAAAATTTTGGAAATAAAGCGGCAGCGAGATGTTAAACGATGAAGACAACACTCTTAATAATTAAATGTTACAAGTCTACAAATGAGTAAACAACTGCAGTAGCTCACTTTTAGTGTTGATGCGTTTCTCTTCAGAGTTGTTGTTGTGCTAATGTGACTGTAAAGCATTTTTAGAAATAGATCATCAAGTATTTTAAAATCAATTTCCCCTCATTATTCTGTTCGTTGTTCTTCTGAACCCTTAAAGAAAGATCTGGGGTCCAGGTTGATGCCTGCCTTCAAAACTCCCTCAAAGATTCCGTTTTCAGACGTCAACATCGGGAAGGGAACCGCCCGTCCCCCGCGATGGACGTCTGACAGCACGCTGGCCGAGGTCACGAGCATTCAGCTGGAGTTTAGAGAGCTGAGCCGCCTCACCCAGGAGCCGCAGTATCAGGTCAGGACAACTCCAGGATTTCCTAAGTATTAATAAAGTGTTCTGCAGTGTGAGCGTGAGAATTATATTTGCATTACTTACTTGAATTCTCTGCGATGGACTGTGAAAAGATGGGTTGCAATGTTTCCTGGGTTCAGGCCGAGCGTTTCACTTCAGTTAAACTCAGACATTAAGTACAGCTCGAAAACACTCGAAGTGACAAGCATGAACTGGGATTTACTTTCACTCCATCACGTTGTCGGAGATTGAGTGATTTCCAGAAATGAGAGCTCGCGCCTGTAGATTTTCCGGCCAGCCTGACAGGAACTTGAGTAATGTCTGTCATAACCCGAGCCGGCCCCCTGAGACGTAGCTTTTGATGAGGCCAATTTTGTCAAAGTAGGAAATTGCGTATAATTTTCCAATGATAAATATTTTTTTTCAAACACACGAGCAGTAAGCAAGGGGAAACTGCCGCTTTTTCATTTTCTCATGTTTTTGCATTAATCTTGTTTTTTTTGAAGGAGGTTGTGGACGAGGTAATGAAGCTGGTCCACAAGCTGCCAGGCAAACACGACGGCCTGGTGCCCATGTTCATCAACACCAACAGCGGACAGTTCTCCCACAAAGGAGTCTTCACGCTGGGAGCCAGGGCGGACAGCTACTACGAATACCTGCTCAAACAGTGGCTGCAGGGAGGAAAGACTGAAGACGAGTAATTTCAGTTTTTATTTTTATATCATTTTTGAGTTGAAGTTCTTGTGAGAAAGAAAAATAGATTTGAACTCGTAACGTTAAAGCAGCGTTGGTTATTCACGGAGTTTCAAAGCAGGTCTGTCGGCTTAGAAGTTTCAGCTCCGCCAAGTAAAAAATATGATCCTGCTTTTCAGATAATTTCTTTAAATCGTGTTCTGCTCATATTCAGGTGGATCATTCTCAACAGCAGAACTCCCTGTATTTCATTTAAACACTTCAAGACTAATGCTCCGTTCTTGACGTGTGTGTTTTGTGCAGTCTGCTGGAGGACTACCTGCAGGCTGTGGAGGGTGTGAAGAAACACCTTGTGAGACAGACGGGTCCCGGCAGGTTGACCTTTGTTGGAGAGCTGTCCCACAGCCGCTTCAACGCCAAGATGGTAACGATGCTCGCCGGAAGTCAGTGTGGGAAATCCAGGGGGGGTGGGGGTCAGAGGGTGAAAGGCCCCGTAGTTATCCTCGGACCTGGACGTAGATTAGACACTTGTGCTTTGGAAGTGATGCACACAGCTCACAAACTCCTGATTGTCAAAGCGTGCTGTGCAGACAGCGAACACCTTGTTGAGTCAGTCAGGGCTTCATCCTTTCGTCAGACTCTCATCCTGTCTTTGACCTGGACTTCATGATTGTTCCTCTGCTCCTCTGCAGGATCACCTGGTTTGCTTCCTGCCGGGAACACTGGCGCTCGGGGCCCACAACAGCCTCCCCCAGGACCACATGGATCTGGCAGTGCAGCTGATGGAGACGTGTCACCAGATGTACACGCAGATGGAGACCGGGCTGAGCCCAGAGATCGCACACTTCAACCTGCAGGCCAGCGAGGGGCGAGACGTCGTTGTCAAGGTAACGCTCGTTGATATTGAAATATAACTGATATTGTAATGTTGATTGATATTGTAATATAACTGATGTTGTGCGTCCTGCAGCCTGCAGACAGACACAACCTGCTGAGACCAGAGACGGTGGAGAGTCTCTTCTACATGTACAGATTCACTAAGGACACAAAGTACAGAGACTGGGGGTGGGAGATACTGCAGAGCTTCAATAAGTACACGAAGGTATCAGTTTCACTTTAATCTCCCATTTTAATTATCCCGTCACTTCAAATACAGCAAAGAAAAATGAGCCTTGTTATTTTCATTATATTTCATTACGTTATCTTCGGCGGTTCTGATTTAATAATGTTTTGTTTTGGCTTTGAATCGAGTCCAGGTTTGTTTACAGTCATTAGAAGTGAACTGAAATTTAACACCGGGTTGTGTTGCGACAGGAAAATGAAATCACTGTGAAGAAAAAGTGCAATTAAAGGAGACATTCAGGTTGTAGTTTAATGAATTTAAAAAAGGTCTACCTGAGTCTTTTAAACTCTGCCGACAAAAAAACCTGTATATCACACAAGAGGAGAGAAACTGAAAGAAAGCCTCGTATGTCTCCGGTAATAAAAGAGACAAAGTGAAATTTGCTCTTGGCTTCAGTGGGTTTTAATGTGTGAAGAAAAGTCAAACATGCGGCATCAGAGATTTTTCTGCCTCATTAAACCGCTCTGACCCGATACCTCCGCTCCTGCAGGTCCCCGACGGCGGTTACACGTCCATTAACAACGTCCGTGACCCCGTTAACCCCGGGCCCCGGGACAAGATGGAGAGTTTCTTCCTGGGCGAGACGCTGAAGTACCTGTATCTGCTCTTCTCTGACGACACGGAGCTGCTCAGCCTGGATAAGTACATCTTCAACACTGAGGCACATCCTCTCCCCATATGGCCCTCGCCGCCCAAGTGACGTTACCGAGCGGGAGACGTCTCTAATAACAGATACGGTGTCGCGGAATCCTGTGTGAGTCAAACAGCTGCTCGGTCAGGAACACGTCCAGGCCGGAGTAGAGCAGATCTGTGGTGTCCGACGTCTTTCCACATGGAGGAGTTGATTATTTTTCCTTTTTCTTAATTTTTTTTTTTTTTTTATAAGGAAAAGGTTTCTGTTGGAGCTGGTCTCTGATGTCAAATCTTTGGTGAAAATCACTGACAATCTGGGGATGAAGTGAGAAGGAAGTGGGATAACGCTCGTGTGTGTGTGTGTGTGTGTGGTTACAGCAATTATGCCCCTCCCCCCCCCTGTTAGTTTGTCTTACCAATTGTAGGTGTAGATCCACGTTAGTCCCGTAAAGTCAGAAGTCGAGACGCTCTCATGAAGTCAACACATGCTCATGTATTAAAATGAAGTTTAATGACGGCTAGTTAGCACTTTGTTATTCCTCTCGGGACATCGTCTCCCTGGACTGGTCCGTCCTGAGCGTCCTGGAGAAGTGCACAGCTCCAGTGCAGCTAGTGCCTTGCTGAAAAGCAAAGGCAGAGTATTCCTAATCATAGACTTCGTATAAAGATGGACGACGCGTCTCTTAATTCCTCCCACCATCTAGAAATGAAGACACTTTAGCAGAGAGGTCATGCCGTCCATCTTTATAAATGTTCCAAATACCTCACGTGTGTCTTAATTAGATGAAAACCTGATTAAAACGGACTCTAATCGTGATTTTTCTTTAATTTAGAAGATTTGTGAACCCCCAGAAATCTTTGCACTTGAGAATGATCACTTATCGGATCCTTTTCCACGCGGAGCTGGAATCGTTTCGACACCAAAATACAACTTTAAAGGGAAATCTGGTTCTATCTTCAAATTAAGAGCACCAGTACAAATACATGTTTGAATGTCCTCAAAGTTTGAAGGTTAATCAGTCTTTTGTGATTTCAGGTCTGTAACAAGATGACACCTTGATTTATTGATGAATGTAGACATTGGTTCTGTTCGGTTTTTTTTGTGATTTTGTATTTTTGTCACAGAGGAACACTACGAAAAGTCTCATCTTGAGTTTTATTAAATTAATTTTTGCTTTATATCAAATAGAGGAGAATTATCTGAGGCCGCCACGCAGCCTTAAATCTGCCGCGCTGTGAAGTCGGATCAAAATGAACAAGAAGTCATCATTTCCTGTGTCAGGGACGATAAACACGCAGACGTTCATTCATCCTGTGTTCACAGGCGACTTTGTCTAAGAAGTGAAGTCGTGTGGAATTATTTTCTTCCCACTTGAAGGATTTTGATTCATTGCTGTGAAGCAGTCGCTGATTTCCCGTCAAATGTGATGTAGAGCAGCTACGGGAGCTTTGTTTTCCACATGCTCACGTTGACAAATCATTTTGAAGGATGTGTCCGATGTCGTGTATGTGCTGCTTGAACAAACATCCTGAAAGCGTCTTGATTCAGGACAAAAAGGTCACGTTTGATCCGTCTCTTCTTGTCTCGTGGACTCCGTCCAACGCAGAGCCATAACCCGCGTCGTCGGTGAATGTGCTCGACAGTTGCCAACGCTCTGCTGTGCCTGAAATGTAAATGATGCTTCGGTGGTTTTTGTTCTTTTATTGCTGCTGCATCAGTGGTGTTTACTTGTGAAGTGCTACATGTGAAATATTTGGAGTGCGGGCGGGCGGGGTGTACATATTTCTCAATGAGTAAACGGTTTCTAGCTCGTCTACTGAATCAAACCTGTGTGTCTGCTGATTTGTGAGATTTCTCTGGTCTTGACGTTCCGCGCCATCGTGTCAGCAAAGTTCTGCGTCGTGCGTCTTCCTCAATTTATCTCCTTAAAAAAAAAACCATCATAAATATTTTTTTTAAAAACCCTTTCACCCGTCTGTAAAGGGCGTCTTGTGATAAAGCTGCGTCCTCATTGACACTTTTCTGTCCAGTTGTGTCCATGAAAAGTTGGACATGACGAGTTTTGGCTGAGTGTGTGGGTGTGAGAGCTTTAATAACAGGTTCATCTTGTTTTTTTTGTGAATTCTTCATCTGAAACTGAAACTGATCTTGATGAGCAAAATACAAACACAACTGAATCTGCCAGGAACCCTCCACAGGCGGGCGTCAATCTGTCGTTCCTGATTGTCATGGAACTCCGTGAAAATATAAAAAATCGTTCATGTGTGACTCGTCTTCCCGACACTTTGACTCTCGCAGCCTTTATCTGTGACGCTCGAGCAGATTGGCTCCGGCTAAAAATGGTGAAGTTATTTTTTCCCCCAACTGTGGCACATTTGGTTTTACAGTGTTTAGATGAATCATTTGTCGACTGTAAAGATTCTGCCTCATCTCGTCACTGTCACAGATATTTTTGTTTAGCAACTGATGGTGACACAACAGATAAAAGACCAGAAATGACTCAGTGAGCAGAAACTGTTTGAATTAAATTCACGCTGACGCTTCATATTCTCCCGGTTGATTCTAACGCCTTGAATAATTAAAGAACATTGCGCCGGCTAATCATTTAAAAGGTTGTTTATTAAATAACAAAGGTAAAAGTGATTCTGCAGAGGTTTTCTAGAGCGTTTAATGTGCAGTTTTTTCTCTGCTGTTGGTCAAAAATAACATTATTTGGATCAAAGCCATACAGCGAAACGACAGCTCTGCTATTTAAACGGATGGAGGCGACAGAAGATGACCAATAATATATATTATATAATATTTCCACGCCGCGGCCGTGTCTCTGATCAATAATCCATCAGTATTTGTTAGAAACATGTGAAAGTGTTGGTTTTAAATCACTTTTCTGCACAAATGAACCAGTTGACGCGGTTTTATCAGTTTCTCATTTATGTTTATCAAGCTGAATTGTTTGTGAAAGTTATTTATCATCGAATCCACATCCACATCCACTGCACATGTGACTGAGCACTTCGCAGGTTGTGTCATGTTCACCCAATGAAAACTATTTTCCTGCGAACTAAGTTTTTAAATAAAAGTTTCCAGCGAATGTTTTGTACTGTATCTTGTGTCCAATTGATTTTTTTTTTTTTGATTGGAGGCTTCAGTTCGCTTCAGACGCTTTTAAAAATCACATTCCAAGTCGTCAATCTCACATGTGGCCTGATGTGTCGATCTTTTCAGTTGTCCAACACCAGGGGGCAGCAGAAGCCACCCAGCACTAATGATCCTAATGAATGAAGGAGTTCCAGATGTTCTTCATCTGTAGGTAACGGACGACAGAGTCTCCGTCGCTCATCTCAAAACATTCATTCAGAGTGTTTCACAATTGACCGATGAGCCAAGAATAATAATCACTTTCTTTATCACACTTCGTCTTTGTGTTTTGGGATTAGTTGTATGTTGTGTTTTCATGTTTTCATGTTTTGTTTTAAAACTTCCCATCGTGCTTCATCATACAAGTAAATCAGTTTTGATTCATTTAAATATCACATTTTATTCATCTGTGGAATCACAAATGTCAGACAGCCTGGTTCCAGACCTCTGACTCCACCTCCTCGTATTTGGACTGTTGGTCAGGTGTTGTTGTTATTAATAATTTCAGTCCTTCATAAATGTAAATATGGTAAAAATCCAATCATGAGAAATGTTCAGTGGTGAAATCCGCTGATAGATTTCACCAAAAAAAAACATAATTCTGTCCAACCTGCAGAAAATCTCTGTGTCCGTTTGACCCTCTGCAAACTGACGGATTCCTGCATTGATCCTGTTCCAGTTTCCAGTGTGGGATTTACTGCGGCTGCCAGATGGTTTTAGGCTCCAAATATAATCCAACACCCTTTAAATCCTCGGTGCATAATTAGCTGTGGGTGTTTCTCAGGTTTGTGTTGCTGTAGTGAACCTGAGGGATGTTGAGTGTTAGCGGTGTAGTGGTCCGCGGTTCAGCTCTGAGACTTTCAGCTCGAGGCTCAAACCTGCAACTCTCTCTCTCTTTCTTCCCCCAATGAGTTTGAAGAATACGTTTTCAGACTAATTGTTGCCTGAGGGACGGATTAGAAGAGACTGGCTTAGCTTTTTGTCAACAAACTGGTCTGAAAGAGTCTGATGAATGTTTCTCTGCTCTGTATTCAGATTGTGTGACTCGGCGTCGGCTCAGAATTTTACTTCGCTGCACTTTGCCGGCTGCATGTGTTTTCATATATAGGTCCATCGTTTTGATTTGTGTCCTTAATTGAAAACGTTTTCATGCTCTAATGTCCAGGAAACAATTCACTGTCCTCAGACTGTCCTCAGACTGTCCATCGCTGCAGCTCCTCTTTTCAGCCTCTGTCTCAAACACTTGTCTCTTTAAGACCCTCCCCCCCGGCTCTGATTGGCCAGCTGCTGCTCCACTCTGTTGTGATTGATCGGTTCCAACTTGCGTCGTAAACATCCGCTCTCGCTTCGACTTGTGTCCATTAAAGTTGTTTTGAATTCGATTCAGAATTTTCGAATCATTTCATTATGAAGTGAGACGACAACAAGCACAACAATGTTTAACAACTATCTGGGAACAGAAGAGCAAGTAAACTTCCCCTGAAAGTCTCGTTGACGTTTAACCTGCTGCTAAAACAAGTTTCCAACACAGACGGGAAAGTTTATAAAGTTTATTTTCTGTGCCTGAAACCTGGTGAAGTTGATTTTCTCTCCCTCCTCCTCTCTCCTGCTCCCCTCTCTCTCTCTCTCTCTCTCCTCCACCTCGGAGGCAGGTGATCCATGGACGGCTCGGTGCCAATCCTCTGATCACTTGAGAGCTGGATTCATCCGAGCAGCCGGAGACCTTGGCTCCAGCTCGGTGCTGTGGGCTGTTATCTATCAGAGAGATGTCAGCCTCCATCGTGTGGTCTCTCAGATGAGAAATTAAAGCAGAGGCAGGGGGATTGAAGGCAGAGAAGATGAAGAGGCTCCGCTCGCTGGCTGACAAAATCATCTTTGTTAGTTGCTTCGAAATCTGTGTCTCAAATATCACCTCAGATAATCAGACACAGAGCCGACTGGAGACTTCGTCTTATTGTGCATCAGTTTTTATAAATGTTAAAACACAGGAGAGAGAGTTTTACTCACTGAAAACATGTATCCACGTCAAATTCAGCCAAATTTATAAAATTATACTTACTCTGCGTTGCTTTGCAGAATATCACTGATAAAACGTTACTTTTAATAATCAGAGGGAAGATGTTCTTTGTTTCTTAAGCTTGTTGCTCATATACTGTGTTTATACTTCTGTCAGTGCACACTCTTCATGTTCACCTTCTGAATTTATTCAAGCTTTAAAGAAACAAACTTCTTTAACTGTTCACTTCAGGGACTTGTGAGAAATGTGTCTGAGGAGTGAACCCACGACTCTGCACATGCTGCCATGCAGTTTCTGGTCGAGTCTGAAGCAGCAGAGCGACGTGTGTCTCGCTTCCTCTTCAGGCAGATCGTCTCAGCTCGACGGCAGCGAGGGCGAGCGGCACTGATGTGAATCTGCAGATTGTGCAGCGACTCGTGATTGATGTCCAGTTTATCCCTGCAGATCATCCGACTCGTCATTTCCAGTGAGCTCAGCGATGGGCCTGCAGTCTGCTGCCTCTGTGTAAACTGTCTGTGAGGGAACCATCACAGCAGCTTCTCGGCTCAAATAATCAATCACCAACAAACACAGTGAGGCTCTTCATGGACCGGGGTCAGTGTCGTGTTGTGTGACGCCAACGGTTCTAACACCATCTTCAAATATCTTATATGATGTTCGACGGCCTCGAAAGAAATAGGGTTGATACCTGCTTCAATATTTGTGTTTCTAACTATATTTTAAGACTCTTTCGTTTATGTGTCCGTGTAAAATGAGTATTCCTGTCCCTCACATGTCTCTGGGCGTCCTCATGCCTTACTTTAGTTTGTCTTGTGTCTTCAGTTGGATTTTCTCTTCACATCTTCCTGCCCGTGTGCAGCTGCAGCAGCTGTAAGTCGCATTAAATGTGAGAAATGAAAACTTCAGACAGGCCTTTAAACTTGAATTGATTCACCTGAGCTTTAGTTCTCACAGTCGTCGTCACAATTGAGCATAAAATATATTTCAATGCGTTAAACCTCCCTCCACACAAAGAGAAAGTAATTACACTTAATCATTATCAGTTAAGCGTCGCAGCGAAGCACCGACTCTCTGAATGAAGCTCTCGTCCCCTCAGCTGAATAGACAAGGTTTTATTTTAAAATGAATCAACGGGAGAAGTTCAGTGTTGCACGAGTCTGTGAGGCGTGAGTCCAGTGTAAAGGTGTCAGCTCCCTGCAGCCTGTCGGTACCTGACGTTCTCAGGACCACGCACAAGTTTCAAAGTCCGAGCTTTGACATCAGAGGGAATAAATACATTTTCTTGGAAAGTGAACTGAGCTCGCAGGCTTGTGAAAAAGACGTTTCTCGCGACATCACCTGAAAGCATGTGAACGTGGACCAAAGCTGTTTCCATAGCGACACATTTCCAAATCACATGTTTCAGAAATGAGCTCCAGACGCAGGATGTGGGTTTGATTTGAGGGAGAACACAAATGCATCTTGTTTATTTTCCTTTGCAACTGTTTTTAGGATTTTTACACTTAAATACCAGAAATGAAAAGAACATTTGAGTTTTTAGTTCGGCCCCTGTCCAGTCTGCTAACACGGAGGAGGCGGGGTTTATGACCTACGCTCCAGCCAGGACTCAAGGGTCTCAGAGGGGCCCTTCATCATTTTCATCTGGCCACCAGGGGGCGATGAAGATAATTTGCCTTCAACTTTTGAGAGCTGTCGTGTCGTCCATGTTGAAAAGATGCTAAAATATCCCAGAAAAATTGAGTGCTGCAGTTTTAAATGCGACTGGATTTTTAAAAACATTTCCACCTGTTCAATTATCTTGAAATTTGATGAAAACTGACGACTCCGCCGCCGTGACCCGTTACAGTCGATAACGTGCAGCATTCAAGCCTCGTTAAACCTGCAGAGTGACCAGTTAACCGTGAAATGTGGCCATTAACTCGAAGTCTATTTTACCTTTGGGTAAAATCTTTCCTGGAGGTTCAGTGCTCTGGTCACACGGACCGACCACAGGGCGCAGGTATCAAACAGTCTACATAGCAGATACAGACGATTCAGCTCAGAGCGGCCGTCTCTTCATTGACTCATCATCTCCACGTCCCCAGGTTTCCATCAGTTTCTGCAGTTTAAATTGAAAACTGATTAAAACCCTAACTCCTTAGCTCTGTGGACGTTCATGCAGAGTTCACTGTGTCCGTCTCCCTCTCTTGAAAACGTTGAGGGACTCTTCGTCTGTTTAGCTCGGCTCCGAGCCATTCGTCACCACAGAGGCCTCCGTCCACGCGGCTTCGTTTGCAGCCGATATCGGCTCCGGTTTGTTTGTGACTGATCGCACGGGCGACAGAGTTCAGCTCCACTTTGCTCCTTCTGGCTGCAGCTCGACGAACTCGTGGATCAGGGACTCCAGACGTTAGACTCCACCGGGCGACCTGCGGGGAAAGAGCAGAAAAAGAGGAAATTACATTTGTAAATCAATTCTAGGGACAAATGTACAAAACCGATCCAATATTTTAAAGCTGCACTTTGACCATGTTGGATTTAAGTAAAGTACTTTTGTTTTTGTACATTGTTCATGGTTGTCTGTGTTTAATGCTTTCAGCTTTTATTGAGAATAACTGTTCATATAAAATTACTAAACTATGTCTCCTTGTTTCTTCGTTTCTTTTTCCTTCTTCTTCTTCCTCTATATCCTCCTCTTCTTCTTCTTCCTTCTTTTCCTCTTCCTCCTGTCATGCTATCCTTACATTGTTTGTTGTTGTGTTTGTTGTGTGTTGTTGTGCTGATGAGGTTGTATTGAGGATAAACAACCTGTTGTTATTATTATTATTCTATTTGGGGTTTTGTTTAAGAGTTTTTACAGTTTCGCACATGTGAAAACTCTTAAGATAAAATAATAAATATCTAGAACTGTGTTATTTTTAGTAACGTGGTCGCGGTCATGTCTGTGCTGTCTGTCA